ACTAGAGTCAAGCTCCACCAGCTGGTCCTCCGCTGTGCCAAGACGCTCCTCTGTTTCAGCAACATGAGAGCTCAACTTGTCTAGCATGGTTTTCAGTCCAGAGATGGACTGATTTAATTCTGCCGTTTTGGAGTCGATCTTTTTAGAGAGAGCCTTATTGCAATTTCTTATCTCCTGGAGGAGAATGGGTAGATCTCCGCCGCTCAGGTGTTCCTGTGCCATCGCCACCATCATGCTAGCTTCCTCGTGGTCGCTCTCGGTAGTTTTTTCTGCGGCTGTCAGGCTCCGTTCACTCGCTTTTTCTTGGCTAGGAAACTTGTTCCTGGATCTCAAGTCCATACTGCAGTTGTACAACCAAGTTATAAGTGGGTTTGGGTGTTTGAAATAATTTTAAAACGGATTTATTCGGAGAGCCCCCGGACCAGTGTCTTACTAGCTTTGCCGCATCACGTGACCCCCTGAGCATGGTTTAAACACCACAGCCTACCTGAGTATTGTTGCTGACCTTGTCCATCCCTTTATGACCACAGTGTACCCATCTTCTGATGGCTACTTCCAGCAGGATAACAGGATAAGTATATAAAGTAATTGAAATTAGCTCCACCTTTATCAGCTGCACCATTTAAGTGGTATAGCCTGAATGGATCCCTTATTATAATACAGTCAATGAATGTGAAATGGGCCGTTCTGCATGATGATTACTTTTATCTTTGGTACTTTAAATATATGATCTGATCTGATGCTCATACTTTTGTACTTCTACTGTAGTAAGTCTTGAATGCCGGACATTTTCTTGTAACAAAGTATTTTCACATTGTAGCACTGCGACTTTTACTTCAGTGAAAGATCAGAACACATCCTCTACCACTGTTGACTGTAATTGTAATGACTGAAGATGATCATAATGTTTGTAAGAGAGCACTGTCTGTTTATGCCTTATAGTCTGTTTGATAGATGTTCAGCTCTGTATAGCCTCAAAAATGTCCATTAATCACAAGATTAGAGCAGCCTTGATAAAAACGAAGTCGGAATTTGGAAAGTCACACGATCTACAGTGAAAGTTACACCCTTGATAAACGCATTATTTCTTACTTGCTGGAAAAACTTTGCTCTAAAAAACAAGGTATTTGGTTTTATGTAGTGAAGTAGCCTGATACAAATGCGTTTGTCTTTAGTAATTAGTCAGAATCGCATGTCTGCAAGGAAAGTGCTCTCTGTCCTGCATAAATTTAAATCTCCAAATGTCAAACCATTAGCTGCTTATTAAAGTCACATTATATGAGTGTATAAACTCATGTTATTTCCAATGACAGCCATGAGATGTGTGTTGGGAGCTCTTCTTTCTCTCTCCCCCCTCAGGCTAAGTTCACTTGTATTCACTGCGTGTTTTGAATGTGCATAAAGAGCTTTTTTTGAAAAAGGTTTTTCAAGCGTATATCCAGAAAATCCTCTGAGACCAAATGAACAACTGGACTGTCTGTCCACTACTTTGGTCCAGACAGAAATGATTCAACATCTATCGGATGGATTGTCACAAAATGTGGTACATCCTGGTTTCCAGAGGATGAATCCTATTGGGTGGATTTACATGACATTTGTACAAATATCAAAAGTCTCCAAAGGATGAGTCCTGCTCACTTAAGCAACACATTCTCACTCCGACCTCGTCACATATCGACGTTTGCTCATGGATTTTCCACGTCCACATACGACATGCAAGGTACCCTGGGTGTGTTGGTTGTTGACGTTCTGGGACGCTGTGTCAAGTTCTGCCTGTTATATGCATTGTGTTTTTTCAAAGTACATTTCTGTTTTCACAGGAAATTTAACTTTACATACAGTCTCTTTCAAAATAAACGCACTACGTCGGTACAACACCACGAATTGACTTTTTCTTCCATCAACAACAAACACACGTGGTTAGGTTTAGGAAAAAGAACAGCGTTTGGCTTCAGAATCTTAAGAGATGCGAACACCGCTGTCTTGGGTGATAGTTGGTGTTTGTTGGACTCATCCACCACTGCTCCTGCGTGCCCCAGTTGGACTTCCGCTGCCTTATCTTTTGTCCTTGTTTCGTCCCACATTTCCCCCTGATGCTGCTTTGCACAGTTAAACTATAAGGGCAACCGGCCGCATATCGTGCCGATGTGACGTGACACCTTTTTTCATTGGTTTCTGACGCTGCAAGTCACTGCCCAAGCGCCAGATTTCGACAACTTCGGAGTGAGACCAGGCTCACTTAAGTGATTCTCTGACTTTTCCTCAAGCACCACCAGCAGATCAAAGTTTACGTTTGGTTTCTTACCAAATTCCTGCAAAATGAGTCACGTTCCCATCGAGCTCAACTATAGCCTACTTTGAGTGCGTTCCGAATCGCATACTTTTTCTTTTTACTTTTAGTATGTACTGCAGTTGCCCTTAAAAAGTCGGTACTGTTGCATGCAGTATGCACACATTTGGGACAGACTATTGTCTCATTACATTATGCCCTGAACTTTGACCCTCTTGCTTTAATATTGATTATCTTGGAGATAAACAAACGCCACTTACTGAGTTTACCAGGGATGGAGATCAACCTGGAGATGTTACTTTGTGATGTATGGAGTTAAACTTCAAAGTTATGACTGCACAGATTGTAGATTCTAACATATTATATTTGCGACAGTGAAATTACATCTGCATCTCCCTGTCATTGTTATTTTCATAGTTATGTCCTTTTGTTATATTTATGATTATTTTGTTTACTTAAACAATCAGTATTCCTATTATTGACAGCTGCTTTTAAAGTCTAAATCCTCAGAACAGAGCAGCAGCAGTTGTGGTTTGTGAACTAGACCGTAGCACAATGTTCATCCCAATGTGACTCTGAGTGCACTGAATGTCCTTGCCAGCAAGCTCAGGTGCTTCCCACATGCTCTAAAAATATAAATAAATAAAGGCCAGAGGTGTAAATAGTGTGTCATCACATTGAGACTTTTGAATTATCAAACTCCTTCTGGCAAAAATGTCCAATTTGTTTGGCACTTCTCCAGATCATACTGTGTGGTTTAGTTTTTTAAGAAGGTTATCTAAAGTTAGGAATGACTGATGTGAAAATTATGGCTGCATACAGTTTTATGACAATATATTACAATATATATACTGGGGGACTCTTCACCCCCCAGCCCAAATATTCACTTATGCTCAAAATTACATTCCATTTTCAACCGCTTATCCAAGGCCGGGTCGTGGGGGCAGCAGGCTGAGCAAATTGCTCGAGATGCCCCTCTTCCCACCAACGCTTTCCAGCTCCTCCTGGTTGATCCCAAGGTGTTCCCACACCGGATGAAATATATAATCCCTCCAGCGTGTTCTGGGTCTGCCCCGAGGCCTCCTAACTTTTGGACATGCCTAGGAACCCAGGTGGCATCCTGAATACATGCCCGAACTACCTCAACTGACCCCTTTGTGAATGAGCAGCGGCTCTACTCCGAGCTCCCTCTGGATGTGCGAGCTCCTTACCCTATTTCTAAGGTTGTGTTCACACTGGGTGCGAATAAAACAATTTGCACATGTGACTTACATGTAAAGTCAATGTAAAGACATGATTAGATGCAAATTTCCACCGAGTGGCACGATGGATGCAAATAAAGCCAAGCAAGTAGCGCAATTTCTTGTCATTAGCTTATTCGTGAGAGTTGAAAAATGTGAACTTCAGCAACCGATTTGCAGCGAGATAGCCAATCAGCATTGAGATCCTCCGGGGACATATGACACTGAAGAGGTACCGGCGGAAGTTCATTAATCAATTTAGCGATTTCACGCACATTTGTCACAAGTTATTCACGTGTATGAAGCGAGTCAACACAAAATATTCTGGCATTTAAACTTGTGTGAGTAACGCAATGTGAAAATTCGCATCACGTTTGGTGTGAACGCAACATAAAGCTGAGCCCAGCCACCCTTTGGAGGAAACTCATTTTAGTTGCTTGTATTCATGATCTCATTCTTTCAGTCACTACCCAGAGCTCATGACCACAGGTGAGGGTTGGGACATAGATGGACTCAGCTCTCTCTTCAACACAACAATCCAGCACAGCGCCTGCATGACCACAGATGCTGTGCCAAACCGCTGATCCATCTCAGCTGCATTCTGCCCTCACTTGTGAACAAGACACACTTGAACTCCTTCACTTGGGGCAGTAACTCTCCCTCAACCTGGAGGGGGCAATCCATCATTTTCCAGCAGAGAACCATAGCCTCAGATTTGGAGGTGCTGACTCTCATTTAGACCGCTTCACACTGGGCTGCAAACCGCCCCAGTGCATTCTGGAGGTCATGGTGTGATAAAGCCAACAGAACCACATCATCTGCGAAAAGCAGAGACACAATTCCAGTCTCTGGCTTTTTTTTTTATATCTTGTGTTGGCAGAAATGTTGTTGCACATTTCTGATCCGTTGTTTGCATAGTTAGCTCATTTGCTGTATTAGGTAATTGTTTCTGTCACCCTAAATGTCCTGCTGAACCCTAATCAAACTCTCAAACTCTATATGGAAAATGGAAACAAATTGTCAAATATTGGTTTTGAGCAGCCAGATCAGATTCGACTGACACGATTCTGAGTCAATATCAATAACAAGGCCCCAAAAGTCTGAGAAAAAAACGTAATAATCTAAACATAAACTTTGAAGATGCACCATAAAGATGCCACCATGATACATTTTGAGTTAGTGTTTCTATTCCATTAGTTTATCTATAGGACTTCAACTTTGTGAGGAGACACAACAGAAGGTGTTCGTGCCCAAAGGGTGTTAGGGGGCGCTTTTTATGTCCAGGCCCAGAGGTCCACCGTGTCATGCTCACGCACATGGTATATTTTCCTCTTATCGTACAGCCCTTTGTGAAAACCCAAGATCAATATCCAAACACTGTGGAAGCTGATAAAACTTTCATTTTACAGTTTTTATGGTACAGTTTGATTTGTAATAAGCAAATACACATTCAGATACATTTTGCTCAGATGAATTTATTATAAAAGCCCGTACATTAATCACATTAATTACAAGTTCATAGATGAAAAAAAAATTTCGATTGATGGTTTCAGCCAGGCCTGGCCAAAAATTCACTGGGCTATAAAGCTATGCCACTTTATGCCAATTTTGGGATTACGTAAAAAGCACACTGATAACACAACAACAATAATGAGAGCCATGTGCTGTCTACAGTATATACTAAACTCATACAAGGCTCAAAGCTTATGAGGAAATAACACATGTAGACTGTGAAGGGCTGACAGATAACGAACAGACTCATTAATAATTTCTGCAACAGAAGAGTGCGTGTGTGTGTGTGTGTGTGTGTGTGTAAGAAGAGGATGGTTGATGGCAACAGGAGGATGAAGAGAGGAGATGCAGAGAAAGACTGTTGTGTGGGAGAGGTGTTGACTTGTTTGTTTGGATCATGTGTCTCTTTAACAAATCATATCATCTTGGCAAATCATGAACGGTGCAAACATGTCTGCATCATGAATGTCAGAACCATCATGTTCATTTTTTCTGCTCTCTTTCTCTTTTTTTTCTCCTCCAGAAATGTCATAATCCTGTGCTGTGATTTTCCCAATAAACCGCAATAAACAAAAATGCTGCGTGCCAGCCAGGAGGTGTGTGCGTGGACAGGGCCTATTTGTGTGCGCACAAAATCAACCACCTTTATGATTGACATGTTGGAGGATGGAGGTTGCCGTGGAGACGCAGGAACACAAAATGCCTTACATTCGCTCACAAATGGAGAAGTGATGCACCCTCTGTCTTTTCATTCTGTGTGCTCGGGGTTGCTCCGCACTGTCATCTCGTGTCATTTTTGTCCCAGAATCTTTTATCCTCCATTTCACACTCCATCTGTGCTGTCATATCTGTCAGCCTTTTATTCGTCTGCCACCTTGTAGTCCACGCTGACCTGTCTCTATATTACATTACCCCTGGCTTAAGCCCCTCTTGCACACTAAGCCCTCTGCGTACCCCCTTCTGCCTCCCCACCTCGCGCTCACTTGTTCACTCCCTCTCCATATTTCACAGGTTTAACAGAATGCATCTAGGTCACACATCAATCTTGTGTAACTTGTACCATCTGGGTGCAAAGCTTAGACAAAGTGAAAGGCTGATGGCCAGACAAATAAACACACACAGCACTGGATGCAGCACACACACACACACACACACACACACACACACACACACACAAAAAGGCAGCCGTCTCTGCCAATGTTGTAACCATGGGAATACAGTGTAAACAGCAGCCGCTGTCAAAACTGGATTGACTGCGCCTGTGTGTGTTTAATAAATAATTATTTGTGTATTCCTATTCTTCTGTCCAAGTAGCGTTGTTAAGGAGACAGGCGCATGCTGGTTGAGGACAATCATTGGAGATCATCAACACAACAGGCAGGAACTAGACAGGCCAAATAAAATCAGGTGCAGCTCAGGCAGGAAACAGGGCAAGGCTGAAAGTCGATCATTATTTCACAATGGGTCCACTTGTTTGTTGTATTTCTCTCTGCTGAAGGCAGAGCCAAAGGTATTTTGGTGTATACTGATAAACTACAACATTAAAACCACTGACGGGTGGAGTGAATAACATTGATCATCTCTTACAGCGCAATGTTCTGCTGGAAAACTTTGGATCCTGGCATTCATACGGGTACCACCTGACATGCTCCACTCTTCCAAACACCAGTGCAGACCAAGTACTCCCCCTCATGGCAACGACAATCCCCAGCCGGTGTAGAAAGCATGATGCCACACTGCAAAAAACTGCTCAGGAATGGCCCGAGGAACATGACAAAGAGGTCAAGGCATCGACCCATCGATCTAATCGAGCATCTGTGAGATATAATGGTGCCTCACCTTGCGACCCAAAAGACTCTGCTGCCATCACCTTGATGCCAGACACTACAGGACACCCCGCAGAGGTCCTGTGTCCATGCCTTGACAGGTCAGAGCCAATTCTGATCCAAAGAGGCCCAACCGTAGATCGGGTGTACATTTGGGTAAACGGCATGTCCCACAGATGCTCAATCAGATTGGGATCTGGAGAAGTTGGAGGCCAGGACGATGCCTTGGGCTCTTTCAGCCATTCCTGAACAGTTTTTGTGGTGTGTCATGGCGTGTCGTTCTGCTGGGGGGCCAACGCTGTCTGGGAGTGCTATTACCATGAGGGGGTGTACCAGCTCTGTAACAGTATTTTGGTAGGTGGAGCATGACAAGGTGCATCCACATGAATTCCAGGACTCAAGGTTTCCCAGCAGGACACTGCTGACTTTAAAAGTTACTCACTTCACCTGTCAGTGGTTTTAATGTCGTGGCTGATCGGTGTACAGTAAATGCATGTTCACTGCAGTAACTCCACTGTCAGGCTGCGTGCATATCTGGCGGAGCGAAGTTTGAGTTCATGGTAGCACTGTACAAAACTGTGGTAGATAAATGTGATGGGCAGTGCCAAGAGAACAATGCCGCTCACTACACACATCCCCCCGAGCACCCGTCCCCCGATTGTCACTGGGTACACATCCCCGTACCCCACTGTCGTCATGGAAATGATGACCCACCAGGCCGCTGCCGGGATGCTGGCATAATCCTGGTTCTGCGTCCCCAAGTCCAAGCCGTGCTCCAGCAGCTGGGCCAGAGCGCTGTATATCGCCATGGCGACAAAGACAAACACCATCAGCATGACCATCTCCCGGTAGCAGCGTGTGAGCGTCAGCCCCAGTGTCTGCAGGCCTAGGAAGTGTCTGGCCAGCTTCATGAGCCAGAACACTCGCATCATCCTCAGCACCCGCAGTATCACCCCAGCAACCCCGAGCCCGGCACCCGGCATCCCTGCTCGGGCCATCGCCATGGTGACATAGTAGGGGGTGATGGCAATCACATCGATGATGTTCAGCGGCCGGCGGAGGAAGTCCCACTTGCTTCTGGCCACCAGAAAACGCACTATGCACTCCGCTGTGAACCAGCCGATGCACACGGCCTCCACTATCCTACAGAGAAGAGAGGAGAGAGGAAAGAGAGACAAACTGAGTGTAAACAGGAAATGGCAGAGCAGCTACAGAGATATGGATGATATGAGATGACTTTGACAAATGTGCAGAAGACGGAAGCAAAGCAGGAGTGACATGAATTATGGAAAATAATGAGGACATCTGTGGCAACTCAGGGTTGACGCAAGTAAACAAAGACAGGAGGTCAGACACACAGAGGGCCGGGAAACTGCACAGAGGGAGGGAGTAAAAACCCTCAAAGAGACACTGTGACACAAGCAAGCACATGATTACCCCGTTGATTAGCACAGCAAAGGCAATCAAACCGAATTAAATCGAGGTGGTGCTTGACATAGAGGCAGTCGGATCAAGCAAATAAGGCCACAGAGCCTCAGGATAACTACATCAGCACAATTATGCCAAACTAAATTATAGAGCAACTGAGGGAATTGCATCATCTACTGGCATGAAATTGGAATCCTTTTGACCCCGAGCATATAAACTACACTTTCAGCGATTACCTAACCACTGTGACCGATCCAAAACTATGTCCAGCCTGAGTGAGCATAACCCAGCCTTATATAGAGAAAGGCTGCCTCGGGCTTCCTGGAGAGAACAGGCTGTGCAAAAATAAAAGTAGAAAGAGAGGTGCACTTTTTCACCTCGCATTCAAAAAAACCAAAAATAACCAGAAGCTGACTTACACAGAAGGTGATTCCTGTAATTCCTTTTTGTTTGCTTGGCCTAATACGATCCCTCCTGCTTGTACACCTTCTACTGTTTAACTCATTACCGACTGGACTATTATGTGTCTGTCATTTATCTGATGTGTTTGTCCTTCTTGTGTACAGTGGCAGTGTAAACTAACCAAGCCAATAAAGGTATTCAAATTAATTGTGAAGAGGAGGGGAGGAGGCTCAGGAGGAAGACAGGGTGTTCTGTCACTTCACTTTTTGTAGATAATATGGATTGTTTATTGATTGTCTGTCTTTGAGAGCGTGTGTTTGCGGATTGCCTGAAACTAAGAGGTGTCACTTCACTAAACACAAGGCCAAAGTCTCTCTGTTAAAGTGTTTTCTATCATGTTTTGAATATGTTGCTGTCTGATTTTTACCCTTAAAATGAAATCGTATTAAGGTTGGAAAAACTGGGATATGACGAATCTATCCGAACATCAACCTTCTGTGTAAATAATTGTCAGTGCGCAATGAGTTTGACCGCTGTCTCGAACGCATGCAGGTGCTCTGCTCATGTGAGATTCATAAGTGTCCCCGAGTGTGTTTATTATTTATAATATGATAGAGAAGTACCCCTTATATACTTTAGCTTGTGGAGATCATGGCTGACTTTTACGCACCAGATTTTAGATCACCTGAAACCGCACAAATTGCGCCTAAACATTAGCAGCATCCTCATGGAGAGCCCCCCTTTTATTCCTCTAAACTTATCTGGCCCCTCATTGTCGCCTACCTGTGCTCCTCCACTGTATTTCTCTTGGCTGTATCCCAGTCCGGCAGGGTGCTGGCACACAGCATGATCATGGAAACGATCACAAAGATCACAGACACCGAAGCCAACAGCTGCGCCAAAATGGAAGAGTTGGGCTCTTCGAATGTCTGGCGCATCTTCTCGAGCCATTTAGCGCGGCCGGTGAGCGCAGTCACTTGCACCGGCTCGTTCGAGCTCTGGGACTCGTCCCCAGACACTCCGATGTCCACCTCGGACAGAGTGTCCAGTCCGATCTCGGACATCCTGTCGTCCAGGCGTTTCTGGCAGCAGGAGTCCAAGTGCGCGCTCTCCAGCCCCCAGTAGAGCATCTCTGTGTAGAAGGACAGCTCACACACTCCGGGGACAAAGCGGAGTTTACCCGAGCGCACGTACAGCATGATGAACACGAAAGCCTGCGCGTGGCGGTCAAAGAAAAACTCATTCCGGTCCCGGTCGTAGTCGTCGCACAGTTCAAGAACCTCTTTCTCGGTTGCGCAGGTATGCAGGCGACTGACGCGCCGGAGAGGGAAATCCCTAATCACCTCACGGGTGAAGGCGTACCGGGTTCCCCCTACGTTGAGTACGCAGATGCTCTTCCCGAACTTCATCTTGTCAACCTGTAACCTAACTAAAACTCATCTTCACGGTCCACCCCCCTTCCATAACAGGAGTTTGGACACTTTGGGGGCCACAGTCTCCCCTGTCCCCCGGGGCGTGGTTCCCTCTAAGTGGAGCTGGCCCTGCGCTGAGCTCCGTGGCTGATGGAAACTCTACCCTCTGTCCCTCACTCCTCTTCTCCCTCTGTAGCCAGTGGAAGAGACTCTCCACCCCAGTCAGGGCGAGCCAATCCCATCAATGATGTCACATGCGCGCGCGCGCATAGACGCACACACAGTAAGACAGACACATACTGGGGAAACTACAGAGATTTTACAAGTATCTCCAAAGTAGAGTCTGTCTGCATAGATATAAAAAGTATAAACATTTTTATGGCTGAATCTTATACAGTGTAGTCCTCTTAGCTGAAGCACATTCGGCACCATGTTTAAATAATAAACACCATAATAATAACAACTCTGTAGGGATTTGTGCACAACACCTGTTATATTGTACCCAATGTTATCAGCCAGGACTTACCTGTTAATACCTGTACAAATCTCAGTATGTAGCCTATATTTATTTTACTACCGTTTATATATTTTCTCCTGGTGCACGTTTTTAGCCTTTGTCTTATCTAATTAGATTTTAGCTTACTTTGATTTGTTTAACCTGTTTTATTTTAGTCTTATTTTTATTTAGATATGTGTATGGGCACTGTTGGAAGAAGCCTGAGGACCAAGAATTGTGTTGTCAACAACAGCCTCACTGTAACTGTTGTGCACATGACAATAAAAAAAAAATATTATGAAAAGATATTAAGGAGATTTAATGATGCTTCCCAGTATCCCCGTATTATCCTTGTATGTAGTAATAATACAGAGAATGCATAAAACACACTTTAAAGGAAGTGAGAGCGGTAAGTGCAAAACAAACAAAAAACAACAGGGATAGAAAGTCATAACTAAAGGAAAATACAATGGGAAATAAAACTCAGGTGACAATAGTAAGTAATAAGATAAAAAATGAAGATGAAAGTAGAATACATAGGATGCATAAGCTGGAAAATAAAACCCATTGAATAAGGATAATAATTCAATCAAAAAAAAAACAGAGAATGCATAAAGATACATTTTAAAAGAAGTGCTTCAATGCTTAAGTGCAAAAAAAAAAAAGCCACAACTAAAGTAAAATACAATGGGAAATAAAGCTCAGGTGAAGTAGAATACATAGGATGCATAAGATGGAAAATAAACCCCACAAAATAAAAATAATAAAGTTAAAAAAACGATTTATAATACAGAGAATGCATAAAAATATATTTTAAAAGAAGTGCAGCAGTGCTTAAATGGAAAAAAGTCACAATTAAAGGAAAATACAATGGGAAATAAAGCTCAGGTGAAGTAGAATAGGACGCGTAAGATGGAAAATAAAACCCACAAAATAATAATAATAACATTTAGAAAAAAGCTTTATAATACAGAGAATGCATAAAAATATATTCTAAAAGATGTGCAACAGTGCTTAAGTGCAAAAAAAGTCACAACTAATGGAAAATACAATGGGAAATAAAAACTCAGGTGAAGTAGAATACATAGGATGCATAAGATGGAAAATAAAACCCACAAAATAATAATGATAAAGTTAAAAAAATATTTATAATACAGAGAATACATAAAAATATATTTTAAAAGAAGTGCAGCAGTGCTTAAGTGCAAAAAAAAAGTCACAACTAAAGGAAAATACAATGGGAAATAAAGCTCAGGTGAAGTAGAATACATAGGATGCATAAGATGGAAAATAAAACCCACAAAATAATAATAATAAAGTTTAGAAAAATGATTTATAATACAGACAATGCATAAAATATATTCTAAAAGAAGTGCAGCAGTGCTTAAGTGCAAAAAAAGTCACAACTAAAGGAAAATACAATGGGAAATAAAACTCAGGTGAAGTAGAATACATAGGATGCAAAATAAACCCACAAAATAATAATGATAAAGTTACAAAAATATTTATAATACAGAGAATGCATATAAAAAAAATTAAAAGTCCAGCAATGCTTAAGTGCAAAAAAAAAAAAAAAAANAAAAAAAAAAAAAAAAAAAGTCACAACTAAAGGAAAATACAATGGGAAATAAAACTCAGGTGAAGTAGAATACACAGAATAGACAAAATAAAACCCACTAAATAATAATAATAAAGTTAAAAAAATTATAATACAGAGAATGCATAAAAATACATTTTAAAGGAAGTGCAGCAGTGCTTAGGTGCAAGAAAATAGTTTAAGGTTTCTTCTTCGTCTTTTAAAAAAAAAAATAACAATACAGCACTTAAATTGACAAAGGATGCTGGTGCTTTATAGTCACTTGCTAAATATATATTTCTAATTTTATTCAAAATGAATTGACATTTCAAGTAAGTACGTTTTATAAAGGTAGCTGTGTGTATGTGTGTGCGCGTGCGCGGCCCCCTCTCGACGTCACCAGTCAGTGGTTTTTCGGGTTGATCCGACTTCTTTTGGCTGCCGTGAGTTCACTGTATTGTAAAGGGTACTGAGAATCTAGGAGGAGGAGGGGGGGGTCGATTTGCCAAAAATTCTCCCGCTTGGGTTCACATCCGGAGTCCGGACGACCATAATTTAACGCACCTCTTACCTTTTAAGAAACTGAGTTTTATTGTTTTTATTAATTTATTCTATTTGTCTTAGTTTATGGTTTACGTTAACACTCCGGGAGGGCAGAAATGGCGGCCAACATGTACCGGGTCGGAGGTATGTATGTCAATGTGGATCTTTTTATCAAACTGAAACCCTTCCAGTTTTGCATCCCGCGGGGATCGTGTGGCGTTATTTGTAGTTTGTTCGCGTCTAATAGTAAGATACGACTGTGCCACACGTACAGGGATGCGTTAAGTTGGAGCAGGAAGGTGAGAATTTCTAAATATTTGGGATTCAAAATGGGTCAGGCCTCGCGTCTGTCGTGGCCACAGCGCTAGCCGCCAGCTTGCTACATGGCTAGCTTACAATGTAAACATATTTCAATTGTCGGCACCTTTTGTTTGTGTCTCGGTGCTCGGATAATCACACCGGGGACACGGGGAGCTGATACGCCGTGGGACCTCTCGGCTAGACGTGTGTTTTAAAGGTTGTTGAAATGTTACCACGGACAGTCTGAGGCTGCCTTTGTATTTGCCTCTTCTGGCATGCAGCCATTAGTACGAGTCCTTATTAAGCTAACGTTAGCACCAGCAGTGGCTTCACTGATTAGCATTATTACAGCTGTGGCGCTCGTTTTACAGTATTTGAGCAACGCATCTAACACTCTTGGTGACATTAGACGCCGGGTATTGCCCCACTTTTCCCCCTACATCCAACACAAGCGTAATTAATTAGCAAATTGCACTTGCTAGCTAGCTTGTTAGCAGTGGAATTCAACATCAAATTATTGTCTCGAGAATGGCGTCGTTGCGTCTGGTTGGATTAAACCTTACACCTTTATTCACATGTACTTCAAATCCACATTCACACTGTAATTAAACATAAATGGCACAGATGCTCGACATGTCACTTAAACATGATCATAAAGCGTCTTAGCACAGGTGATATTCGTGGCAACAGTTTATCGGTGCGGTTACATCTGTTTGTTGTCCATATGGTCACCTCAGATGCAGCTCTTCTGCTGCCTTCAAGTGCTCTTTGGAAACTACAACTCCTGTAACTGAAATCCAGTTGGTGCCGGTGGAGTTTTTTTTCTGTATAAAATAATGACAAATCTATCTCTAAGTATTCCCTCTGCATACATATAGCTAGTCCAACTTTGTGCAGCTCTGGCAACACAGAAAAATATACATGTCACGTGTCAAAGCTGGAATTTATAGTCACAGTAACAACTACGGGGATAAACATTTTGAATCCAGAGGTGGACAGCTGTAATATCTATATGCAGTGACTGAATGCCAAGTCCTAACTGCTCTTACATATTTATTTCGTCGCTGACTTGTGTGTGTATATGGAGCATAGTAATTACTATACTTCAGACTTGCACTTGAAGGCAGCATTTGCCATGAACTGAACTTTTCCAAAGTTACTGTATGTTCTGCTCAGGTGTAGTTGAATCAGGCTGCATTTCTGCCTCCTCGGGCTAGGTGAAGCCAGTGGAGAGTCAGCTATTATGACTTGAATAATGTATCACTGTCCTAAATTTATTTATCTTACAAAATCATAGCAGTGTGGTTACTGACTGTCTCACAGACTGCGAAGAACTTGCAGTATACATAGAATTGCCTTTGCCTTGACCTGTCTAAACTGTAATCTGATATCTGTTGCAGTGCGTGCTCTTTGCAATTATCTAGTTTATTAATGCTCCTCACTTCTGTTTTAAACCTCTTTCACTAGATGTAATAATTGCTGATAACTATTTGTTTCTCATTTACACACATACACATGTTTCTGGTTTTGGCTCTGCTATAGCAGTGCGTTAATCAGTTAGTTCCTGTTCCTCAACTTATGTGTTAGTGAGCTGGCAGTGGGGCAGTTGTTGCAATTCACATGTGTAGATCTACGCACACTCCCTGGCCACTTGATTAGGTACACTTATACAATTTACTGCACTCCAGTACAACAGATCCACCACAAATTCTGTATTTAAGAGGACTGTAATGGTAAGCTTTGTTGACAAAGTCAGAGAGAGGTTAGGTCATGTGTTTTGAATATTCCCACCCCCCTCATGTTTGTTTTAAAGGGTGCAAAACGTTAGAAACTTTTCTTAGTACAATGAAGTCCAGCCACTGCACCACCTCTGCAAACAGTAAATATATGGTTAAATGTATACCTCTCTGACTGTCAATCAAAACTGAGTGTTATTATCTTTGCAAAGCTGAGCTGTTTTATGAGTTTAAACTTGATTTTACAGGTGTACCTAATAAAGTGGCCTCTCAGTGTATTATTTTCAGTTTGTCTCCCGAGCTAATCCATCGCCGCAGTGAAGTAATTAGTGTGTTTTCTGTTGCAGATTATGTATTCTTTGAGAACTCCTCAAGTAACCCATACCTGATCCGGCGGATAGAAGAACTCAACAAGGTACTGAGGTGTTTGTGTGTCACTTTTGTGTGTGTTTTTTGCGTTTTATGCCTGAGGGTGAATAGCTAGGATTCCTCCCTGTTCCTGTCCCCACCCCTCACTTTGCCATGATGTTTGCGTGTGTGTGCAATTTGTGACTTACAGTGTTTGTAAGGCGATGGAACCCGACAGGTGTTTACCACTCTCTTAACTGCCATTGTCGTACAGGACACACCTGTGGGAGTGTGTGTGTAGATGGGGGATATTATTGTAATGGACATTTCAGGCGCTTAGAGAGCTTTGTGACTAAAGATCATCTCACACCAGCTTTGAAAAGCAGCATGATCTTGTGTTGTTTTTTCCTGCCCATGTTTGATCAGTTGTGGAGTTTCCTGTTCTAACTGCTGTCATAGACGTGTGTCACTTATGTCAGTTAAGACCAGACCCGAACTAACCTTTGTTTAAATACTACACAAGCGTATTTTAATAGGCGTGACAGAGAAGCTTTTCCTGTGTTGCATTTGCACTAAGATACTGCAGTAAACACATGCCATTATCAGATGGTGTGGGTGGGAAGATGTCAGATCGGGTCAGTATCAGCCTGAAAAACAAACATATTGAGGCTGAACAATAAAACATTAAGATAGGAGACCGTGTTGTTATCGTAAGTGATAAAAGGGGGTGGACAGAATAACAAGAACACCCTGCAGCATGATGCAACGTAACACAGCCTTTCTGCAACAGATGCTGCCTGTATGAAGCTTATATGGTTCATTTTTCTGTTGAAAGAGAGCGGTTGATTTAACTTGGTGGGCATTCTTGCAGTTATAGCTTATGTTGGTGTTGCACTGTATTGCAACTAGAGCTGGGCAATATGGAGAAAATGAAATATTATATGTTTGACCAAATGCCTCAGTGACGATATTGTAGGGTTGATTTTTGGTGCTTTCACAAGAAGTTTACACGATTAGATTTTTGATAAATCATCATCAGTAATGTGGGTATAATCGCTAAGTGGGTAAGTTCAGAAATTGTCATACTTTCACTGAAATGCAGTCTTTAAAACCAGGAAGACAACACTTACGATATCCAAAATCTAACATGATGTCTCATTTTAAGATATTGATAAATTGCTCAGCCCTAATTGCAATATATTATAAGGTGTTCCTCTTATTTTGTCCATACCCTTCAGTTGAACACTGTCATTATCTGGTTTTATCTACAAGCTCCCCAGAAAAGCAGCAGAAGTTGAAAACAGTTTTCTCAACCCGCATACCCCCACATGCATTCACTCTCGATCAGTCACCGAATGTAATACTGGCTGAGTCTTTAAGCCTGTCGGCCTAATTATACAGCGAGACAATCAATCAATCATCTGATCAAAAAGTGCTGTTGCTGCCCTGGTCAGCCTGTCATAGCAGCATAGCTTGACGAGCACACAAAGCAGCCAGGCCTCCTGGGAAATTAGAGGTTTGTGCAGGAAGGTGTTGCCACCGCTTTCAGTCAGCCTGTATCTCTCTACTCTCTCTGTTACAGACGGCCAGTGGGAATGTGGAGGCCAAGGTGGTTTGTTTCTACAGAAGGAGAGACATCTCCCACAGCCTCATCCAGCTCGCAGACAAACACGCAAGTGAGTCGCAACTCCTGTCATATGTCTTTTTCACACAGAGATCCCACAAAACTGCCACAGCAAAGATCTTTCATAACACCGGCTTTGCTTTTTTACACGAAACCAAACAATGCTGGGATAATGCCACTCCAGGATGTGATTTTTAGATGGCATGCTGGTGTTCCAGAGGCAAGAGAGATGTGCCGTGTAACGCAACAGCATCTGTGTCAATTGTGGCATATAACACACACGTCAGGCAACACTTTCTAAATGATAATAATCACTTAACATGCCAACAAAAATCATTTACTGTCCTTGTTCTATGGTGATTGATCTCATCCTCCTTCTCCTGAACCTCCTTGTCTCTCAGGGTTGTGCCTGACTGAATGGGGTTCAGCTGGACTAAGTCGTAATATATGTTGTAAGCAAACCACACTGACGTAATACGTGCTAACTACGCTAACGAGATATCAGAAATGTGCAACATTTTTTGCAGACACAAAATATTACAGAAAAGCCAGACACTGTAAATTCATCCCTTCTAAGCAGAAGGCAGACGATAACGTTATCTCGGGGCCTGATAGGGCATAGCCTCTTGCAAGGAGCGCTCACTCTGCAGCTACATTTGGGGATCGGGGACTGCTCGACTCACAGAATCTCAGTCTGTTGAGGGGTTTCCAACCGATGATTAGAATCTTAGACAGTCAGGACATTTTCGGTTGCTGTCCTTCATTGTGTTAGCCGCTAACTGCTGCTAGCTGCTTTTCAAATTTCCCAATGTTGGGTCACGCACATAGCACATTGTTAGGGCTCCAGACTGTGACCAAATGGTCACATTTTGCGACCATTTTTGGAGTCAATGCAAGTATTTTTTACAGCTACTCGCTCGTGTGCGACCCGCAGATTTGAGGGTGGGTGTTTTGACTACAACTCAATATATTGGGCATTACTTAGGGCTTCAGTTTGCTGCTGCGGAGCAGACCTGTCCCCTCAACTACACAGGCTAAATATATTGTGTCTGACTATAAGGTTAAAATTTTCAGAGGAAAAAAATACAAGACAACAGCTTTCATTAAAGATCAGTCTGTTACAGTCAGGGCTTCACATCTGTACAGATGTTATTTTAACAATCCTCACATACCACTGACCACAAGTCTTTGTGATGTTTAATTCTTCAACAATTACTGCCTTTATACAGTAGGGCGAAGCCGAATAATGGCACAACATTACCACTTTGGACAGGTAGTGTGAAAAGGGCTAAATACTAAATGAACGTTCAAACCAGAAGCTTCCAAAGAGGGAATGTCTCTCGTGGACACCCAAGAAATATTGCTATATCAAAAAATATTTGTGGCAGCTTTGGTCGCTCTAATCGCTCATCACGTGAATTGCTGAACGTTCGATCGTGTTTGTCAGTTTAAAGGAGCTGCAAAGCAGACTACTGGCTTGAAAGCAGTGTAGTTGCTGCTTGCTGTTGTCCAGTTAAAAAGCTCATAGTTGGCCTACAGAAAGTTATACTTACCCCCCCAAAATCGTATCAACATGGAAGATGATATTGCTGCTGTGATGTGTGCTGCTGCCATCTTGTGCATTCGAAGATGCCTTCGCCGTTGGGTTTGGGTGCACGAAATTCTCCAGCGCCGTGATCAGCACGGTGAATTTCATCAGCAGGTGCAAGAGCAACATTATAAAGGACTGAGTGGGCGCGAAGGCAAGTAAGAAACTTTTCTATCCATTGTCGGAAGAATTGTGCTGTACAAACCAAAGTTACATGGCTTGTTCTCTGGGACCCGCTTCATTGAAGCACGTCAGCATTTCCGACTGGTTGTCGCCGAACCGCATCAGAGCTCATTACCATGAAGTTAAACGAGTTTTAATTCCCCTCCGGACCTGCTCCGGCCGCTTTGGTCGCCTAAGACGAGCGGCTGACGACCAGGTCGCCAAAGTGGCTGTGCTCTCATTGAAAACTAATGTCTTCCACCGTTTTGGAAGCTCTGGTCGCTGTTGGTGTGTACGTACAGTAAGAAAACTTTTAGATATTAAGGTGTCAAGTGTGAGTAAAAGTCCCTTTCAAGCAGTTCAGTGTCTTCAGAATCTGTATATTAACATACATTAAACTAAAATGTAGAGCTTAAACAATCAGCCGATTAGTTAGTTGATCAACAAGTAATTATTTGGCAACAATTTGGATCATCAGGTCTTCCTTTGAAGTTATTTTTTTTCAAGCAAAATGCTTAAATTTGCTGGTTTTAGCTTCACAAAAGAAAAGATTTCCTGTTTTTCTCTGCTGTATAACACCGTAAATACAATATTTTTGGGGTAATCAATCAAGAAAATAATCGCAAACAAAAATAATTTGTTAGTTGCAGTCCTATTCAGATGTGTTCACAACAATATTTTAAAAAAGAAGTGAGAATTTGCAAATTTTCAGCATCTTAAAAAAATAACTAACATGATGATTCTAATTTTGAAATTGTTTTATCATTTATGGACATTGCATCATCAGTCTGACCCTGTGTGGTTTCAATTTGTGTCTGCAGGCAGACTCAGTGAGGGAAAATGTCATTATGGGCTTTCTGCTGCGTGTCAGTCAGGCGAACCTTCCAGCTGCGTTGCCACTTAGCACGTCCTGTGCACATTGAAACATTTACCACCAATGTGAGATTTTTCTTTTTTCATTTTGACCACAGCTCCAGAGTGTAACCATTTAGTCACATTTAGGCGCTCCAGTGCGACTTGATAATATGCCGCTATTCATATTCATATGTCACATTTATTTCTTAATTAGTTATTACAGAGAGGGACAGAATTGAAGTGAGGCTGCTTGAGGAAAAGAAGCAAGGAAAGGAAAGTGTTGTTATCACACCAACACCTATTCTGTGTGGGTAGCCCTCCACTTGTTTCCAGTGATGTTTCACTTTTTCCTTAGGTCATAATAAAACAAACTGTTGATCCCTTTCCGGAAATTAAAAACTCCCCTCTGCCAAAGCAATCGCACGACTGCAAGAAGTTTGATTGAGATGAGACACCAACCAAAAATGGTTTAAAAAAATTCACATGACTGAGAATCAGCACTTACAGGAAAGACAGGAATGCACCGTGTGGCTACATCCCATTCTCTCTGCGTGGTCAAACACTTTGTGGGAAACCAGTTTTGCTCATTTCGCTAAACTCTGTAAACATAAAGTAACCTTAAGCACAGAAATATAAACCATACAGTTTGCATGAACATATGCAGCCATCGTAGCACAGTGCCAATTCCACAAGCTGTTTGCAGTCAGTCGTCTACCAGCTGCTCAGCAGAAGAGACAGAAACAACAATAAAATTTAACACTGCCTGCTACTTAGCACTGTAAAAAAAAAAAAAATCTCACAATTTATGGCTCGGATTAGTTGAGGAGGAAGACAAAAGGACAGGCAGTGCATCTGATTTACAGAAATAGAAACAGAATATGCAGAGTTTGTAGGAGTCAAAGCTGAAATATCTGCACTTATTACCAAACTCCAGAGCCACAAGTTGATGTACGGAAATATCAGCGTGTTTCTCTGAGTGTTTATTTCTTTATTGGTCTCAGTAGAGTTATTGTGGAGGACTGTTAGCAACATTGGCATCCGTTTTGTCCATCAAGTTTATTAATCATTGCAACCAAAGATCAAACAACAGCTTAGGGCTAAAAAGAAGCTCTACACAAGAGCTAACATCTCAAAAATAGACATGTTGCAACCTACCCTGTTTGATATCAAGCTATGCAGGTAGTTTGGGTTTTATATGCACAAGATTTTCAAGTATCTGCCCTTGAGATTGCTGCTGCCTCCTTAACACAATGAATGTGAATAGAATTGTGTTCAAGCATCCAAATATTAGATTTGGAAACATCTTCTTTTACCATTCATACCTTGCAATATTTGAATGCATGCACTTATTCTTGACTGCCAAAATGTCAGTGTCTGGTGATGAATTAGCAACCAGTTGCCAGCCTCAGTGACAAGTACGAGATTGACTTCCTGGAGTTGCCTTCCAGTGGTTTGCTAGTGGAAAGCTTTGTATATGAAACAGCAGCAGCAAACAAAACCTTTCAGTTTGCATCAGCCGTGTCTTTACACCGCAGTCACAGCTTTGATATATCGAAGGAGAGCAGATCAGAAAACAGCAAGGCTGCTATCTGTTGGATAAATGTAAGAACAGCAACATAATGTAGGAAGTGAAGAGACGATGTAACACCAAAATCTGAACAAGGCTGAACCAACCAGAGACACTGCAGTTAAGTCAGGGGTCAGTGTGCTTCAACTGAAGTGCAGTCGTGCAGCGTCTGAAACCCCCTTCCCTTATAACTACACGTATAATCACTTCATGCACTGATTGGCCGTGTGTGTGCAGTGGTTAGAAAGTAGGCAGGGTGTGAACTTTTCTCACAGGCTTTCTTTTTACATTCGTCACAACCAGTGTTGAGCATACGCTGGTGCTAAGGGTTTAGCTCTGACAGTGGAAATGTACGTGACCACAGGTTGTCACACCACGGTACAGCTAAGGTTCAGATTTTTCTCAAACAGCTACAGTGGAAGAAAGGGTGAAAAGGCGGCTGTCATACAGTGGGTGGGCGACGCAGTATTCAGCTTGGTCTCAGTCCCAAAATATGCTGAAGTATGAGACGCACCGGGCTTTCAACCAACTCCAGTGTAAACCCGTACATGTCATTAGCCCTCGCTGGCGTTCCAGAAACTAAAGAGCCGTGATGGGCGTGACATGTAACACAACAGCATTGGCCTCCAGTGTGACATATAACATACGCACTGGCAGTGCTTTATAAACAATAACAATGACATTACTATGGCGATAACAATTATTAACATCCCTGATATAAGGCAGCTAATCTTGTCCTCTGCTCAGATGGTAAGGAACTCTTGGTCCTCTTTGTTTTCTCGTTGCGAGCATTTATATTTGTGCGGTGGTGTGTCTGTGTCACTCTGCAGTTACAGCTCCAAAACACTAGTCTGCAGCGAAGGTTTCTATGAAGTGCTGTAAAGTTTAGTTGATTCAAAACACACATTAAACACACATTAAACATGGCTTAATATAGACAATTTCAAACACTAGTGCACAAATCAGCTTCACTATAGCCCTTTTTAAACAGGAATTGTGCAAATTTGCAGGAAAGCCCAGTCAGTCTTTTTTCAGCATTGGCAGTATAAAAACAAAATCAGGGAGTGCAGCAAAATGCCGCCTACCTACTTTTGTTTATATAGAATGCACCTTTTTTGGGGCAATGGGGGGCGTGAGCAAGTAACAAAACGTGTAGCTCAGCATGTGACGTAATCAGTGACGTGGGAGGGAAGCCGCGGCTGGTCAGTCCTTCGGCGATTCTCTCATAAGTCGGCCCTTTCTTCACCGTCCCCGTCATCTGTTGGTTAATGGCCTCTTCGTTTGCGAGGGCAAGGAGGGCGCGCAATTCCTTGTCTCCTCAGTTGCTCATCTTTACAGTGTCTGTCAGATTTGCGTTTCTCTTGCTACTAGCTGCTCTCTAATTCCTGCTATCAGCTGTTTCCTGTTTATCCACCGCCAGTGGGTCGCACATGCGGCGTCATCAACAGCTCCTCCCACAAGTCATCAACAGCCCCTCCCGTTGCGAAAGGCTGCCTTGTTCTGTTTAAACTTAAAGGGTTCCACTAATGTGACTACCCTACGAGGTGGAAAATTGGGCATCTCGGATCAACTCGCCAATCCGGCTCTGTGTGTCTAAACGCTCACAGCTTGCCGGCAAAACGGCCCAACATTCGCCGAAAACTGGCAGTGTAGAAGGGGCTAATAACTCGCAGCATTCACAGAGAAACACTTGTCTTTATCTGGACACATTTTCCCCACAAATACAACATGCTAACGTTTTTAGCACAAGCCTATGACATATTACATTGTATAAATTAGCCTAGTGGCTAGGACTAGGACTTTTTTCTCTACTCAAAGAAGCCAGGAACAACAGCAACATTAGCAAAGGTAATGTTACAAAATTCGGCTCCATTACAACTCACAAGGTTCACTGACAAAACAACTGTCTTATACTAAACACGTTTTCCAAACAAATATAACATGCTAACGTTATTAGCACAAGCCTATGGTATTTTAAATTGTATAAATTAGCCTTGTGACGAGTGGAGATTTCCTCTGCTCATATGAAGCCAGGATAAATCACACACAAGACTTAAAATGCTATTTTTGTGGAGGTTTTATTGTCTTCACAATTTATTGTTTCTTATCTGTGAAATTAAAGTAAATAAAAGCTTTGTTTCCACTGAGGGAAATGGTTTCAGCTTACAGAAATAGACAGGAGGTCTGTGTCGCCGCGACATGTGGTTACATTTCTGGGGAGGTGCACGTCAGGCTACATGTTGACACAGAGCCTGCATTGCATTTATGGCGTTGATTCAATGCAGAAGTATAAATTCCACTCTACTCATGTGAGTGGATTCGAATCACATGACTTACCACTGACTTCTTCTGTGTCAACAATCGCCAACCTCCTCTGGAGGCTACAAGGTACAACGCAAAGGGCTGTCCTGGGAATTATTAAAGGGATGTCAGGGGCTTGTGCCCAAACGTCAAAATATGACGAGTAGGGATGAGATCACGTTCAGACAGTCTCTGATGGAAGACGTTCATAGTGTTGCACTTGGTTGTTCATATGAAAAATGATAAGTACTTGTCAAGACTGAGAAAAAATGAGTTTCAGAGAAAGAGAGTTGGCTCCTTTCTCACCTCACTCAGCGGGTCAGTGTAGTGTGAAGTCACCGTGAAGGTCGGATTTGGAAAGTTACAGAAATTGTCGGACGCAGCTGCCCCCACGCAACAGCGTCACAAGGGTTTGAAGGGAGAGGGTTTCTGAAGCTATTTGACCATCCGACAAGAACTCTAGTATTTATGGATGAGACTAGCATTTCTTAAAATTAAATTCCTCACCCTCGTCTTGAGCATAATAGCTTGGACGTCTTTAATGGATGGCAGCAATAGTTTGTGATCGCAAAGCCCTCGAGAACCACTTTACCAGCCTATTGTATTATATCTGAGGACGGCGCCGCTATGAAATATCATTAAGTGGTGTTTTATGAAATCCTAGAGATAAATGGAGGAACTTGGCTGAAAACATTTGTGACTTTTATAATCTGTTGGTCTGTTATCCGTCACGAGTACGGTCATGATTCTCGTGTCATTTGTCACATACTCATTTGTAACATCAGTGTCTCCTCTGATATGTTTTATAGTGTCATTTTTGCTCATGTTTGCCTTTTGCAGAGGAGTTGGAAGAGGAGAAGGAGAGCCCGACAGAGACAGAGCTAACAGAAAAACAGAAACACCAGCTTCGCCACAGAGAGCTCTTCCTCTCCCGGCAGTATGAGAGTCTACCTGCGACACACATCAGGTACTGTACAAAGACACACACACATGCTGGACCGAACACCTCATCCGCAGGTTGTGCCCATGGATAGCCACTCATCCAGGCATGAACAGACAAACTGAGTGCTGCTCACTTCCTGTGTCTGTGTTTTACATGGTGCTTGTTCCCTCTCTGTCTCCTCTATCAGGGGGAAGTGCAGTGTCGCATTATTGAATGAAACTGAAGCCGTTCTCTCGTACCTTGACAAAGAGGTGAGCTGGAGAAAAGAACTTGATTTGTCATCTTGTAGTGTACTTTTTTTTGCTTGTTGCAGACTGTCATTGCAGGTTTAGTCATACATTATATGCGTTTTCATATTTCAGGTGTCACAAATGTAGAGAAAGGCAGAGGGCTGCAGCTAATAATTACTCTCCTGGTCGATTAATTAGCTAATTATTTTCTCGATTTATCGTTTGGACTGTAGAATGTAAGAAAATAGTGAATTTTTAACACCCAAGATGATGGTGTCAGATTACTTATTTTACCTAGCCAAGTCCTCTAGACTAAAGCTATATGTTAATTAGCTCATAAGACAAATCCTCACATATTATAGATGCTGCTGCTAGAGTATACTAAGATTTGTAAGTTGTATTATAGAGAGTCATTAGAGCCTTTTGTGAAAGATAACCTGGTGGCTGATTGGTATGTTGTTCTCTCCAGGATACGTTCTTCTACTCGCTGGTGTACGACCCAACACAGAAGACCCTGCTGGCTGACAAAGGAGAGATCAGAGTGGGACCGCGCTTTCAGGCAGACGTACCTGAAATGTTACAAGAGGGTCAGTCAGGAATGTGTGATTTATTTAGACACCTGCAGGTTCAACAGACATTTATCTCTAGTGTCATTATCCACACCTCTAGTGTGTGTGTGTGTGATTGGTACAACGGGTTAAGGCTAGTTCACATTACACGATTTTCACCCTGATTTTGCGTCGCAGCGACTATCGTAATCTGGAGTGTTTATACCTGGCAGCATGTGTTTCTGTCATCGGGAGTCTCGCCAACTGCATTACAACCTGTGTGTGCACACTGCAAGATTTCTCCGCCAAGCTACGTTTTTTAACTTGGAGACGACACATCGTAAAGGCATGGATATTCCTCCCAGTGTTGAATCAGATCTGCCTCCAGGGCCTGGGTCCAAACCCAACACGCTCCCCGTGATCCTGTGGACGCCGCCATTGTTGTTGTTGCTTGCTGGCTTGTCAGTGTTGTCAGATCTTGGGAGAGAAACAAGCAACCAGGGCTATGGAAACAAGCCCAGAAGAAGCGACTGGACCTGGCAACCCTGCGGCTTGTCCTCCTCACATTTCTTCCGTCCTGGGACGTATCCCGCCTCTCATTGGCTGATGCTCTTTGTCAGTCGTGTCACACTGCTCCAGTTTTCTAGCATGCCAAATATCCAGTCCCAGTCACAGACGAGGGGACGACTTGCTCGTAGGCTGGTTCACACATGAGGACTCCTCATGGCTAGGCATGTGCCAGTATGAGATTTTGACAGTATGATAACCGTGGGCAAAAATACCACGGTAACTGGTATTACCGTGGTGATAATAATAATAATAATCATAATAATAAAACAGGTGTCGTCCTATTTTCGCGCTCTAGTCTTTAAAATGGTAGGCTAATATTTGTTTGATCGTTCATGAGTGACAGCACGTACCAGGCATCTCCTGTCAGTGTAACGCATCATCACACCAGTTGTTTAAATGCGTAGGCTAATATAGACCCGTTAAAAGTTTAATAGAGCCGTTTCTTAACTTGACGATGGTGACTCCGCCCAGCAGCTCGTTGAGCTCCTCGTCGTTGCGGACAGCCGGCTGCAGGTGGCGGGGGATGATACAGGTCTTCTTGTTGTCGTGGGCAGCGTTTCCAGCCAACTCCAGGATCTCAGCAGTCAGATACTCCAGCATAGCCATCAGGTAGACAGAGCATAGTTTCCTTTGCACAGCAGCCTGTGAACATGGCTGACTGGGAACTGGAGCCCAGCACGAGAGGAGCGGGTCTTTGCCTTGGCTCTGGCTTTTCCTCTGGTCTTTCCACGGGCACTCATTTTTCTGATGCTCTCTAAAGTCATGACAAAGTGGGTTCTTCTGATAGCCAAAATGGTCCCATACCACTGATTCCGTCCTTTTTGCCGGTGGGGAAAGTTCAGCTTCGCCTCCTCCAGCCACGTTTGCAGTTGAGAGAGTGGATTTATACTGATTACTGACGTACTGACTGACTGAGGCTGCCCCCCCGTGACACCAGTAACCGGCACATGCCTAGTCGTGGCAGACTATCTGCCGACTCACCTCCAACCCAAGGTGGCTCTCAAGATCCTCTGCGACGTCAAAATCGCGGTGAAAATCGTGTAATCTGAACTAGGCTTTACAGCGGGCAAAGATAGTTGTTCTTTGGAGGGGGGAGAATATGCAGCCTTTGTTTTATTAATGGAGACAATAGCAGCTTCTTTTTAAATGTTGAAGTAAAATCATCCGTTGTAGGTGTTGTTGGTGTTAAAGCACATGATTGACATTGTAAACTTGCTGAAGGAATGGCCACACTTGACATGAGCAATGACTGACATCTTGCCCATGACTTGATTTCAAGCCTCTTTTATACGTGGAGCTTGAAAGCATTATCAAGCATTAATGGTAACTGAAGTTAATACGATTGTAGAAAACAAGTGCCGCACACTCCGGCTCCTTATGCATTTCTTTTATTTTGATGAAGGTACATTGGCATGGCTACTCATTAGTGTGGAGTTAAAATTATGTTAGGCAAGCCGATACGTTGGTCGTAAATCAAATCCCGCTCCTCCACAGAAATAAGTTAGAGTAGACGCAGTGGGGATGATTATTTGGTTCTTCATCTTCTCCTGTGCTGCCTGTAAACTGTTGTGTCTCTGTGTGTTGTGCAGGTGAGGCAGATGACAGGGACCAGTCCAAGCTAGAAGAGAAGCTGTGGGATCCAGAGTGCCCACTCACCAACAAACAGATAGACCAATTCCTAGTGGTGGCACGGTAAGACCTTTCACCTCTGACCTCTAAAAATGGATGACAATTGAGTTAAAAATTAATGAAACAGAGATTTGTGTTTAAATAAGTTTGCTGTGTGTGATTCATCATCTGCTCATTTATGTTGCTGAAAGCATACTCAGAGCTGCGCATCTGTGTTTGGTTATTTTTCTGTAAACAACAGTAGTGAGCCCTGCTGATGAGGATTTATGCTAACTGTGTTTTTTATTTATATATTCTGTACGTTTGTTTTATTTGTGTGTGTTTTTCAGGGCGGTTGGGACCTTTGCTCGAGCGTTGGACTGCAGCAGCTCAGTCAGACAGCCGAGCCTACACATGAGTGCAGCTGCAGCCTCACGAGATATCACACTGGTGAGCTGAGCACACCTACACATAAATGCACGCTCACTCTGCAGCACCTGATAGTGATTTAAATGATAGGTTGTAATCCCCTCTTTCTGTGTTCATTGGCTGCAGTTCCATGCGATGGACACGCTCCATCGTCATAATTACGACCTGTCCAGTGCGCTGAGTGTACTGGTCCCAGCGGGCGGCCCGGTGCTCTGCAGGGACGAGATGGAGGAGTGGAGCGCCTCGGAAGCTGCCATGTTTGAAGAGGCACTAGAGAAATACGGAAAAGACTTCAACGACATCCGACAAGACTTTGTAAGTGTTTTTTTTTTAACTCACCACTCTTTGGCTTGTGTAAACTGTCACGGTGTTGCTAAGGTGATGTTTTGTATTTGGTGTTCAGGTGTGTTTTAATGATATTAATGTGCATTATTGTCAACCATGATTCAGACTGCAGATTAAAGCCCTGTTTCCACTAAACACTTTCAGTATGGTACCTTTGGAACCAACAGTAACCCTTCAGACATGGTACCTAGACCCTAGTGTTTCCATCACAAACAGTACTCTTAAATGTGGGCGGGGTTGTTGTCACTCACTGCTCCGTCCAGCACTCACTGTATTTCCTCATTACCGGTGACACAGATGGAAGTCTGCACCTCGTTTATCTTCCACAGAACGAGGCTGCACGCCGACATTTTCAGAACAAAATAAAACAGGCTACAGTGAGAGTCTCTCTCCGTGGGATATTTAAAAATAGCAGGTTTGTGCGTTTAGTCCTTCTCAGGCAAGCTCAGGGGTTTAGTGTTGCTGGAGCCCACAGGAACAACGCTCCACTACGCTTTTTTTTTTTCTCAGAGTGAGGATTAGAATATATGCAGTTCACATGATCCAGTCGAAATCAGTATACATAAACACTTGAAGATCCACTCATTACTAAAAGTGTATGTCATATAAAAACTAAAGTGATGGTCAAAGTTGTCACAGTGAAATTTAAGGTGTGTTGATGGATTCACATCATAAACATGCATTGAGTAACATTACAAGTTAACGTTCCACCTTAAAAGTCACCAGCAGTCGAGCCAGTGAATTAAGTTATTTTTTCTCAGACTCCAGCTGCTGTGAGAGGCAGCAAAACATCCTTTCATTTTATAGTTACAGTTTACTAATAAAACTCTCCACAGTATGAACAGTGGTTACATGAGCCTCAAAACCAGCCACAACTCAGCCCTGAGCAGAGTGACCGTCCTCTATTGACCAATCAACAGACTGCAGCTCCACCTTTTAGTACCAGATCTTTGTGCTAGGTACCCCAACAGAGGGGGGGGGTCCAAAAATGGGGACAGTACAGAACGGTTCCATTGGATTGTGGACTATGGACACTGAACTGTACCGTACCGTACTGCGAGGTGGAACCGGGGCTTAACAGAATGCAGCGTAAGTTTTAAGTTGCTCAGTCAGCCTTAAATATGGCTAATATTTTCCCCTTGCACTCCAAAACTGAACGTCAATAAGATTTATATCTTAATGAGAAGATGAAATGAGGAAAAACGTGCAACATGTCTCAACACCCAGTTTGTCCTGAGTTGAGAAAATTCAATATCTGTTGTTTGTTGAAAGAGTAACTCAACACTAAATGCACTTTTTAGTCGGTAAACAACACGTACAGTCAGTTTTTTTTTTTTTACCTCATGTGTTGATCCTGTTTTAACACAGTCCAAAGCGTGGCTTCATTTCACGAGGAAAGATGACAACAGTCCTGCTTTTAATGTTTGTAAAACGATGATGTCAAGTCAGGCTGGAAACACCTGCAATATGCTGAAACATCTTTCTACACAACATGGGCTTAAATTCCAGTTATGTCTTTGATACTTGGCTGTTTGTGTGTCCAACGTGTTCTCACTGATAGATTTGGCAGTGTAGGCTATCATTATGTGTTTGTTATAATGTTACAGTTTCATCTGCCCAATAATAGGGTAAAGTTTTATTACCCTGATGTTGCAGTTGACAGTTTCACCACTTGTTGTATAACTTAATCACCTAATCATAACATGTCCTGCTTTATGTACCTTTTTCTTGTTGTGTGATGATTAATATTGGCTATTTTCATCCGTTTTCACTGAGGCCACAGGAAGTTACATTTTCTGCGACAATATTTTGGTTATTGTGGACTTTACGCCAGAGTAGCTAAGATGAACCATAGTCTTCGTGATGCAACTAAACTAGGGATGTTCTTTGCGACTTATTTACTGCATGACAGCTAAGTGGCCTTGTACATGAATAAAACACTAATTGGTTTAATGGACTAATATTTGTGGTACCGACTAGCGAGGGGGCAGATGTTTAATCGTTTAGACGACTACTCACGCGCACCCCTAAACCAATCATCGACACAGCTTTATGATCCAACCAGCTTCTTTCAACACACTTGAGCACATAATCCTGAGTCACCAAACTAACAAACACAAGTTCTGTGTTAAGCTGTATTTTAGGAGTAAATGTGGCTTTTAGTGGCGTATTTGGTATATTGATGCACAATGGAGAAGTTGCAGGAGTGATGTTAGAAGTTTCTATGGATGTTCTGATACTTCCTCCCGCCTCAGTGAAAACTTGTCACGATGGGAATTCATTGTAATTTTCATGAATTCAAGATGACCACAGTCACTGTTCTGTGAAGGAGAAAATTACCAATTTTAAGAGCTGCCTTTCAGGCCTTCAGGGGGGGTGACTATTTCTATTGAACCGTCCTACCTGCACTGTACAATAAAGGCAGGATATGGGTGTGTGTGCTCGGGCACCAGGTGCTCATGAATACTTATTAAATGTGTGAATCACTGTGTGCGTCCGCGTGAGTGTGCGTGTGTGTGTGTGTGTTTTGGTCGGGGGCTCGGAACCAAGCAAAGCCAGCAGCTTTCAGCCTCTGTGGTCACGATGCCTCTCTCTCATGAATATATATGAAGGCTTTCGCACCCAGATGGCAAGAACATGAGATATTAATATCATTAATTTGCTCTCTGTCTCTCTTTCTGTTCCCCTCTCTCCGCACCTCATCATTCTGTCCTCTTGTGAAGCTGCCATGGAAGTCTCTGACTAGTATCATAGAGTACTACTACATGTGGAAGACCACAGACAGATATGTGCAACAGGTAAGACTAATACAGTAATTTCAAAACAATAAATATTTTTTAATAGCTTTCTGCTGTGATAGGGGAAGTTTTTACCTTTTGAGTCCAAGACCACTTTGGTCTAATATGTCTGTACAGTTTGGCTTCAAAGTGCTATTTTCCCAAGCCCTTCGTGAAGCCTCCCCCCCCTTGATGTGATGAAGGTTTCTGCATGATGTCCTTGCTACATAAACACTATATAACCCTTGAACTGCTGTGGACGCCATGTTAGTCTGGTTCGAAAGTCACACAATAACGCAGACAAACCAACTGATTGGTTGCTATTGTTTCTGTCAATGGAGTCTAGTGGCATTGAAGAGGGCAATATAACCGCCTCAGCTCCACAGTTGCACCTAAACTGATATCCATGTTTGTAGGAGGCTAAATTATGTTTTGCTGCTGCCCCCGTTTACAGTCATACTCCTTTGACAGAAACCGTAATTTCACCTCGCAGATCACAAGAAGTTGCTGGTCTACCACTGCCTCTGATTGTAAAGTTTAGCTGCATTTGACCCAAAGTTCCAAGGTCCGTGATCTGTGCCGGCGAATCTCTTTCTTTGTCTTTTTGTCTTTAATAAAATGAGTCAGGAAGCAGACAGCAAAGCCTGACTTAATTTGTAATGGTGTCAAACAAAGATAAATGTGCTCCCCTCGTCTTAAAATGGTGTTAAATCAAAACTAGAATACTTCCTTATGGTATGGAGTTGAAGCAGCAGCACTGTCTGTGTTTTACCAATCAGCAACAGTCATCCCTGCGAACAGAGAGTACTACACCTCGATCAGGGACATTTTGAGGGTAAAATAACATGCTTGGAGCTTAAATTAGGCCCTCGTCCCTGTGACCTCAACACAGTGAGTTCCCCAAAAGGTTCCTAGCTCTTGGGAAAAGTGCCTGCTGTCGGAAAGACGCTTTTGTTTGAATTATTGTGTGGCTTTCGGAACCGAACTAACGTGGTGCACAGCAGAACATGCTTATCCTCTGTGTCAGGACTCTGCGTCTGATTCTCAAAATTGACTGTGGATCTATAAATGTGTTTATACAATACAAATGCAGTATCATATTGTAGCTCAATGTGTCTTCACCTGGTTAAATAAAGTTTTAATAACAATAAAATGGCACCATCTTACACCTCCAAGCTCAGGTCTTCCAAGCTAATACACTCTCCATGTTTACACTGTCAGCAAACGATGTGTGCAGGGTTGAGGGAGGGGAGGGTATTAGCTCTGTAACCTACGTCACCGCTTTTTGCTAATTGTTGAGTGGGAGTTGGCACTCCATTTGGAATACACGGATAAGAATGAAAATGGACACGCCCTTTAAATAATAATGCTGCAGCAGCATAGTTTAATATCACTTGCTTGTCCCTCAGTACTTCACTCAGCGCAGTTATGGTTCGTCCTTTCCCTTCCAATGTGCTTATTCTTGTCAACATGTACAAAGAGGCTCTAACTCAGGCTGTAGTGAGTAGTTTGAAGCTTTAAAAATGTATTCACAATCTTGACGTCTTTTCATTCTGCTTAAACCCAGTATTTCTGCAAGGTTGCACATACATCATTAGTCGAAGTAGTGGCTGTGTTTGGGACTCAAACATTTGAAATAACAGAATTAGGATAGTTAATCTTCCAGTGAAAAGTAAAAGAAGAGTTTTAAAAAAGAAAAAGCAGGTGGAAAATAAATAAGACCAAAGCAAATGATTTTATGATAATGATATGAAAGCCCAATTGGTAGTAAAACAAATGGCCGTGATAAAATTCACAGTTCGATCAGCCTGTGATTTCAACTTTTGGTAACACTTTACTTGAAGGTATCTACATAAGGGTGACATGACACTGTCCTGAACTTGTCACAAACATTATGTACATGTCATAAACGTTTATGACTGCTGTAATTAAGTGTCATTCGGTTTTTGTAATGACAAGTTGACATTGTTTGGGTTGTCTTGATTATGACAACTTGACATTCATTACTAAAGTGACATTACCAGAAGCTTTGGACATGGACTTTGTCATGACAAGTTGACATTAAATTTGTTTGGGATGTCCTTGTAATGACAACTTGACATTAACCAGGATGACATTACCAGAAGATGTCTTTGTATCAATCATTATGTCAACTTGTCATAAACACAAAAAGAGGTGCATTTCTTGTTAATGTCAGGTTGTTATGACAAAGACATCTTCTGGTAATGTCATCCTGGTTAATATCAAGTTGTCATAATAAGGACATCCCAAACAAATGTAATGTCAACTTGTCATGACAAAGACAACTTCTGGTAATGTCACTTTGATTAATGTCAAGTTGTCATAATCAAGACAACCCAATCAATGTCAACTTGTCATTACAAAAACCGAATGACACTTAATGACAGCAGTCAAAAACGTTTATGACATGTACATAATGTTCATGACAGGTTCATGACCGTGTCATGAACCTGTCATAGTTATGACAGTGTCATGTCACTCTTATGTAGATACCTTCAAGTGAAGTGTTACTCAACTTTTTACTTTGATGTGCAGTGTGATCTTGAATCCAGCCCTCAGTGGGTTGTTGATTTTGGTTTCCACTGTCCATTGTTGTGTCATATTGTTCTCAACAAATTATACAGTGTACATCAGTAAAGATTTTTAACTTAAATAATTCCTTCATCAAGATCCAATGTGTGATTTTAGTGTTCCCTTCATTTTTTTGAGCAGTGTAGTTCATTTTCACCATTTAATTCACTATAGAAGTGAGCTCACTGTGAGTAAGACTCATGAGACTCTGATTATAGGTTTCAATTCCTCCACAGTTATCTCCTCAACTGTAGTTAACAACTATTAAATTCTGATCTTGATCGTATCTAACAACCCAGATCTTTTCTGAGGAAGTCCCTGAAGCGAAATCTTATCAAATGGATGTCTGTGACCTTGTGTATCAATTTATGGGGCCATAACATGAAAAAAGGTTGAGAACCACTGTGTAGTGTGACCTCAGAGGTGTTAGATCCTGAATTTTGGGTGCAGGAAATTTGAGAGTCAAACAAGCAAAAGCAAAGGTTGATAATTGAGCGGGGACACAGCTCAGATTATCACTGGAAGGTGACTACAAACTATCACACGTCAAGAGGAAAGGAAACAACACCTTTGAAACGCACCAACACATTAAATGGTTGTTGTAATGCCTGATTTTGAAGGTGTCAGAGTGTGTGAGATGATTTTCACTTTTCAAAGACATCCGTTAATTACTTCTTGTTATTAATGAATCAATCCACTGTGTTTTTCTCTCTGAGCAGAAGAGACTGAAGGCAGCAGAGGCAGAGAGCAAACTGAAGCAGGTTTATATCCCCACATAGTAAGTCCACTCATTTCACATTTACAGATATTGCTACCATTACTGTAACCGTGACTTTTTATATGCATAATTAATGTTTTAATTTAAAGCACTGCAGAAGGCGGCCGCAGTCGGTCTGTTTCTTAAATCTCTCCCCGTTCCTCTCTCTGACAGTAACAAGCCCAATCCCAACCAGATCTCAATGACCAATGGCAAGATGGCGACAGTGAATGGAGCGGGCCCTGGGGCCTACCATGCAGCAGGCGGGGGCAGAGCCTGCGAGAGCTGCTATAGTGAGTTGTGTGTGTGTGTGTGTGTGTGTGTGTGTGTGTGTGTGTGTGTGTGTGTGTGTGTGTGAGAGAGAGAGAGAGAGAGAGAGAGAGCAAGAGATCGTGAGTGCGTGTTTCAGCATGGCGAGTGTGAAATTGAATCACAAGGGCAGTGAACATGGGTCAGTTAGAAATGAATGGTGTACAAATGCAGTGTGTTACTCAGCTAAAGGATTCATTTTCACTATCGAGCTTCTCTGACTCTGGAAGAAACGAGCTCCTTTTCATTTTCCCCATCACTGCGTGTCTTATTTATCTTGACAGCCGTTACTAATGCAGTGATCAATATCTCACTTCACTTTCAATTCTGCCTTTCGATTCCTGTAAGCAAGGTCTAGGACCTACTATGCTACTGGAGCTAACAAGCTAACAGTTATTTTCACAAGGTGATGTCTTCAAAGTGCCAAAATATTTAATTTACGGTGATATAATGCAGAGAAAAGTGCAAAGCTGCAAACAAAGAATACAGCAGCATAAATCAATCTCACTTTCTTACACTTAATTGTACGTAGATGGAATTTTATGGATAAAGTTGCCATTTTAGACTCCATGACCCATAAGTCACTAAATGGTATTTTCTACCTTGAACACAAAACTGGTTTGCTGCCTGAAGAAATGTGCCAAAGAGCTAGCACTCGCCAGCATCATTAAAGGGAAACTTCTCTATTTTTTAACTTTGGCCCTTTTTTTTCCTTGTTGTGTCTGACTATTGGAAACCGTTTTTTAAATTGCTCTAGTATTGAAAGAGAGCAGCAAAACAGGCTGCACTGTAATCCCTGTGGGCAACTATGCGCCGTCAGTTTACGTCCACTAAAAGTGTTTGTTTTTGTCACAGACAGGCTCAGATTGTCATTACAAGTGTCTGATAACATTGTAGAATGGACCGTTAACACTTTCCCAGCCAGAGTATTATTTTTAAGTTGCCAGCCACTGCCAACACTATGTGCCATTTTGGGAATCAGCATATGGGGAGAAGTGTTAACACTATTATATACTATATTATATTATACTGAGACATTTTTATAAGATAATAAATAATTATTTCGTGGCATTTTTATGGTGTATTACACTATATTTTTATGACTTTTTTTATTTCATTTTTATGGCATACTGTCGACATCAACTGTGATATACTACCTAATGTTCATATGACGTTCTAGTTTTCCACCTTTTAGTCTAATACATTTAGAAGTAATGAAATAGAGACAGTGTGGTGTTTGACGCTGATTGTAACCACAGCAGTCGAGTAACAGTGGGGTCATGGTCCAAAAGTGGGTCTCGGGTCCATTCTGTATGGATCGCATGTGACCTGCAAACGTGTAAAGTTTGTAAAGACACACAACAGTGGATTTCCAGCACAAGCTTTTATTTTAAAGTGCCGTTTCCAGCTGTGGAGTGAGTGAATAAAAGACAGCGACTTAACACTTTCCCCGCCAGAGTATTATTATTAAGTTGCCAGCCACCGCCAGCACTAAGTGTAATTTTGGGAATCAGCATATGAGGAAAGTGCTCACACTATGGTTGTAGTTATCCACCTTTTAGTCTAGTACATTTAAAAGTAATGAAATAGAGACAGTGTGGTGTTTGACACTGATTGTACCCACAGCAGTCGAGTAACAGGTGGGTCATGGTCCAAAAGAGGGTCTCGGGTACATTCCATATGGATCGCATGTGACCCGCAAACGTGTGAAGTTTGTAAAGACACACTTTATTTTGAAGTACAGTGATTTTCTAGCACAAGCTTTTATTTTAAAGTGCCGTTTCCTGCTGTAGAGTGAGTGAATAAAAGACAGCTACTTAACACTTTCCCCGCCAGAGTATTATTTTGAAGTTGCCAGCCACCACCAGCATTTTTGATCATATTCACTTATCTTTGAAGACCCACAGAATAATTTGTTCTATGAATATGTTAACAGTATATACATGAAACTTAAGAGGAGACCATCTGTTTTTAAACACAGGAAACGTTTTATTCTATCTTATTTCATTTCTTCTAATTTGTGCGTTTTCTTAACAAAAACATTTCAGACAAACAGCTGAGAAAAATGCATTTCTGTCAAAGAATGTCATTTTCAAGTATAAAATCAATTTCACATTTACATTTGTTTCCCTCATTTCCTTACGTCAATTCCAATTGTATAAATGAAAATAATAATGCTAATAATGAGGCATAGTGGAACATGTTGCCACGTTCAGAGATCATTCAGTGTTCTGTTGTCTCCCACTCCTCTGTGGTTGTCATGTCCGTGTGTCACTGTCTCCATCATTGAGATCCCGTTTCGTCCCACCAAACTTGTTTGCTTCTTCGTCCAAATCGGATTCAGAATGTCGATCAAAACAGGAATTGTCAGAATCTGAGTCCATCAACATCTCCACGTCTTGCGCAACCGTAAACTTTTCTGTCGTCGACAGTTGTGCAGTTTACAAGCTGCTACATTTCTGTAAACAAACAATCTTCTTCTGGTTTCCAGCGGATCTTTTTTGTTTGTTTTTGGACACAGCAGTGCTGTTCTATTTGACAAGATGTGTAACAGCGCCCCCTATCTTATAACAGTAAAAACATGGATTGCCGGAATATCTTGTCAATGGCGGGGAAGCATTGTGTCATTAATGTCAGAAAATCTTGGCAATGGCGGGGAAAGTGTTGAGAAATAAAATGTTTTTCCTTACCTTTCACTCATCTGGTCTGTTTATAACCAAATCTTGGTTGAGGAGACGTCTTGTAATGAAATCTCACAAGAGGTGACTTACTGCAGTGAAAAAAAACACAGTGGAAATGTTAGTCAGAGTTCAGGAGTGCTGGGAAGACTTTGTTGTGTTAGAGGACTGAATGTGTAGCTTAGAGTGATCAGGATTTTCAGTGTCATGGCTGAATATTAGGCTAATTTTGACAATATAGAAAAGTCTGTGAGGTTTCAGGAGGAGACTTTTCCTTGATCAAGACTTGGTTGCACACAATAACAAACAGACCGGATCAGCGAAGGGTGTGGAAAACTGTTTCATATAGGGATGTCCCGATCCAGCTTTTTCCACTTCCGATCCGATACCGATATTACAGCCTTGAGTTTTGGCCGATACCGATCCGATCCAAGCGCGTATTATACATATTCACTTATTTTGTTGTCAGTCATGTTAGAAAAGGTTTGATCAAACAATATTACTCTAACAAGAACAACTACTTAATCGGGTTAGTTAGAATGATCCACAACAGTTGGTATGAGAAACTGACCTGTTTATTGTTAACAGGGTTAAATAAACAAACTTTAAACTTAAACAGTAAGAGTGTAAACCAAATAAAAATATCACTCTCAAAAAACCAGAGCAGAAAACAAATAGTCAGTTAACTAAATTGGCCGCTACTCTTCCTACCCACCGTGTGTGTCTGCCGTCTGCATGCTGGCCTGGTGGATTGATAGTAAGAGCTGGAGCGGATCACTGGAATGGACTGCTTGAATCGCGGAGCGCTGGGCTCGTCGGAAAACTGGATCTGACTCCGTGAAAAACTGGATCGGAATTCTTGGATCGGCATTTTTCCATGCAGTCCGATCCGATGCCGATGCACGTTTTTTGCTAATATCGGCGGCGGATACCGATCCGAATATCGGATCGGGACATCCCTAGTTTCATATCTCTGTAGGGTTCTTTCCATACACTTAGAATAACAATCTGAGTCTGACAGTGGTAAAATCAAGCAGTTTAACTACATAAAATCTACCTCTGCACAGGACCACATTCATACTTACCTTTCTACTCCCCTTAAAGCTTTCATAAGATGATTTGTCCAAAAATCTGTTTTAAATTTAGATAAAGATTATTTTGAAAAGGTCTTTAAATGCATTAAATTCAAGTGTCTGGTAGATAGTTTAGTTTATTAGACACTAATGTTCAAATTAGTAGAATCTAAACTGTGCAGAACAACATTAGATTCACAAAATATCTCTGAAGTTATGACAGAAAGTCACTGTTTTTTGCTTTCAACACATTGTGGTTTCATTTTTTGCTCAAATAAAACTGGTTTCAGGATTTCACAAGAAGCAGAATGGATGAGCGACAGCAACAAAATTCAAACTGTACCCAATCCTGCTTTATACTTTACTATATCCTGTCTACTAATATATTTGTGCGACATCTCTGCAGATGTTAAACTCACTAAAGGTGCTAATTAGACGCTGACATGGGAGTCCCTTAACACTCCCACAAAAAAATTCCCAATTCAAGGAAAGAGACTCCCTAACCTTTTTTATTTTTGATTCTCGTCCCACCTGCTCCCATTGACTTTAATCCTGTCCCATGATGAATAGTGAAATTGACTCCCATCCCGCGGGAATCCCAAAAAAGCACTAATCTCATCAGTCAACAGCAGACCGGACATGTAGTGTGAATTGGACATCGATAAAATCATTAGGGAGAGACTTGAGGCAGCGGAAGGAGAGATCAATATGCTGAGTGTCTTTAAACCAGTTTTCTCCTGCAATGCTTCTAACCTTCAGTAATGCGTTTTGTGCATTAACAGCCATGCAGTCGGCCCAGTGGTACTCATGGGGGCCTCCGAACATGCAGTGCCGCCTGTGCGTTTCCTGCTGGATGTACTGGAAGAAGTATGGAGGCCTGAAGATGCCGAGCAGAGCAGAGGGCCCAGAGGAGAGGACTTCCCCGAGTCCAGCAACCAATGTAAGCTCAGTCAGATTTAAAGCACATGGGGTGTGGGGGCAGAGAAAGCAGAATCTGATGAAATCAGTGTGTCGACGGTTCCTTAAGACTTGTTTAAAGCTGGGGTCGGCAGAAATCTGAAAATGGCAAACAAAAAATAGCATAATTTAAAAATACTCCCTCTTCTTGCAGCTTCCACCTCCTTGTCCTAAACCCCTCCCACCCAACGACGACAGGCATATGCACGCGCTTCGTAGAGTAAACCGGTGTTTCCCATAAACTGATTATTTAATCTTATTTCATTATAGAGTTGCCTGCAGGTTATTCACTCAGCCCCTTCTTACCCAATTCACTCTCTGTGCTTATCAGACAGTAAAATGAGAAACGAATTAGCTAGCCACCCCACAGTCCCTCCACCTCACTCCTCGCTGCTCTGTACAGCGAGCTCTGGAGATGGACCTTTGGTTGGCGGCTGTTGAAGCTCAGGTTAAGCCAGCGCAACCCCCCAGTGCGGGGTGTCACGGTGGGCTGGTGGCCAGAGTTAGCGCTGGGTCAACCTTTGTAACAGCAGCAACAGAAAGTTTGTTGATCTGGCAGGGAGTCAGGGATGTCCGGTTCGATCAGAGTTAGGGTTTGCGCTGGCTAGATTCGGGTTTCTGAGGCTGCTGACTGGGGGTCCACCTCCAGAGCTCCTGCCTGCACTCCTCCTGACGAAATATGTAGTGGCGGAGAGTGAGGCAGAGGACACACTGGGTGTTTCTCAAAGTCAAGTATCCGAAGAATCCTCCAGAGGCAAGGCAGAGTAAGTGGAGTAATGAAGTAAAGACAACAGCTGAAAAATGTTCTTAATTATCATTTACAGTATGAACACACACAGAATCACTCTGTCATTTCAAAGTGGTCCATATTTTCTGTGTGTCACCACACACTCTGCTACAGTAATATCTGAAACAGCTGACCCACTGCCTGTACATGATACTGCTGTGAAATCTTCTGAAATAAGTTCACCTCAAAACAAATGAGTGATGCTTTGACCTGCAGGATATTCTAATGTCTTTACTGTGGCCGTTCTCACCACGATTCCCCCGAAAAATACACAAATTGAAACCAAAAGAATGAGAGCAATTATCATGTCGTAATGACGTGACTCGAGGAGACATTAATCAAAATAAATGGCATATTTATCTAAATTCTGCCGAGCTCCACTGCTGCAGGTTTCCTTGACGAGGCCCCGTCCTCACTTCCAGCAAATTGTGTGCAAAGCATTGTGGGGACTTTATTCCCACTGAGGATCCACACATGCATCCTTGGAATTTCTCTGAAAGAAGGACTCAGAAGATTCAGATTCAGAAGGATCCTTGTCATTGGAACAGTCCTTCGGTGGGTGTCAATGACGTAGCGTCCTTGAAATTTGGCCTTTTTAGGATCCTTCCTTGACTTTGAGAAACACCCACTGTGAGTCAAGGCTCTAGCTAACATTAGCTACATGAACATGAACTTGAAGCTGCATCCGTGACCCCGTGAGTTGCTCGGTGGTGTATGAAGTTGCTGTCAATGCTGAAATAGCAACTCTCTCTGTAGGATTCTCCACCATTGAATAAGGCTTTCAGCAAAGGGACATGCATCTGCATTTGTAGTATAGTCAATAGGAACGCCCTCACGTCCTGCACTTTCTCAACAGCGAAGAGGAGGTGCACAACTCAAGTTTTCTCTCAGTCCACTTGAAGTACAATATAGTCAAGGTTTATTGTGGCATTTTTGCCAAAATGAACCTGCCTACATTGACTTTAAAATCACCTCATCTCGTACCAATTTGCTCATTTCTCAAAATATTGTTCTAGAGAAGCTTTTATAAAGCATAGAATAAAATCTGAATCTGCTCCGCTGCAGCTCTGTAAAGTTTAACATCCACAGTATACAAGTGATGTTCTGAGCTGTCAGATTTAATTATTCAGTGAGCTCAAAACATCACTTACTGTATCTCTCATATTAGCTGTTAATACATTCACACATCTTCCGCTTTTATTGTGTGGATTCAAGTGAGAAAACAGACCAGTTAAAACATTTAGTTTCTATATATCTACAGATCATAGTGGAAACTGTGTCCTGTTTTTCATTGTAGCTGTCATTAAAAGGCCAAACAGCTGCCACACTGTAGTTCACCTCTTTTCATGCTGATATAAATCATATTCCTGAGGGATTTTTACAAATAAATATGCTGTGTTTTTGTTTCCAATGACAGCATTTGTTTTCTAGAGGTCTGTTTTTGGTCTACAAGTTATTCTTGTAAGGGATTTATTTGCACAGGATGTAGTATGACCTCCATGTTTGCCCTGTTTCTGTGCAGGTGCAATTAATAACGCGAGTGGTGGCTGTGTTTAATTAAAGCATCCCTGTGAAATGTTAGTGAGCCTGCATGCACAACACCACAACCTGGATTGCAGCAGCCATCATTAACATTATTCATTACATCTGTGCTCTTCCTGCCATGAAAAAAAAAAAAAAAAAAAGACAAATTGAGCTAACTTTTTTTCCACTAGATGTACACTTATCTGCCAGTTATCTAATGCAGCCTAATATAATGGCCCTGCAATAAATCCCACCTTCGTGAAGGTTATAATCAGTTTTTGTTTTAAGTGTTTTTAATAAGGCGCTGATTCAACTTTATGGTCATTTCGGGGGCTGTAATTATCCTCACTGACATAAACAGGGTGGACGAAATATTAGAATCACCTCTCAGGGCAACAACAGTACCGCAAACTGCAGCCTCCAACATCATCATACAGTCGGGTCAACACCTTCCTAAATATGTATTAACCTTCACGGAGGCATGATTTATTGATGTATTCGACTGGATTAGTTTCAGGTAGGTGTCTTGTAATAAACTGGCAACTTGCTGTATTTTCATTAATTTTTAATTTAAAGTGTTGGTGTTTTGTTCATGTAAACAGGCGTCTCTATGGGGTGATGACATTTGTTATTGAGTATAGCATGTAGGTAAAAAAAAATAGCATTAAAAACATCAGCTTTTATGACACTTGGATGTTAAGACACTTTTCAAAATTAAATGCATTGTGATGTGGAGGCTAGTGGAACAGAAAGTAGCCTGGAAGTTGACTCTGATGTGGTGTTAACACCTGTTTACCTGAAGTATTTTTGATAGTAATTATTTGCAGGGCGCCAACATTACATTTAAAATTTGAGCCACTAAAGATAAGCTGGAGCCTATCCCAGCTGACATTTGGCGAGAGGCGGGGTACACCCTGGACAGGTCGCCAGACTATCACAGGGCTGATACACAAGCCCTTTTTAAACAGGAATTGCGCAAATTTGCAGGAAAGCCCAATCAGTCTTCTTGCACCATTGGCAGTATAAAAACAAAATCGGGGAGTGCAGCAAAATGCCGCCTACCTACTTTTGTTTAATACAGAATGCGCCTTTTTCGGGGCAATGGGGGCGTGAGCAAGTAACAAAACGTGTAGCTCAGTGTGTGACGTAAACAGTGACGTACTCCGAGGGAAGCCACGGCTGGTCAGTCCTTCGGCGATTCTCTCATAAGTCGGCCCGTTCCTCACCATCCCCAACGGTTAATGGCCTCTTCGTTTGCGAGGACAAGGAGGGTGCACAATTCTTTGTCTCCCCAGTTGCTCATCTTTACAGTGTCTGTCAGGTTTGCGTTTCTCTCTTGCTACTAGCTGCTCATTCCTGCTATCAGCTGTTTCCTGTTTATCCACCGCCAGTGGGTCGCACGTGCGGCGTCATCAACAGCTCCTCCCACAAGTCATCAACAGCCCCTCCCGTGGCGGAAGGGTGCCTCATTCTTTCTAAACCAAAAAGGTTCCGCCAGTATGACTACCCTATGAGGTGGAAAATTAGGCACCTCAGATCAACTTGCCAATCCGGCTCTGTGTGTCTAAACGCTTGCAGCTTGCCAGCAAAACGGCCCAACATTCGCCGAAAATCTGGCAGTGTAAAAGGGGCTATAGAGACAGACCATTCACACTCACACCTACAGACAATTTAGAGTCACCAATTAACCTGCATGTCTTTGGACTGTGGGAGGAAGCTGGAGTACCCAGAGAAAACCCACACTGACATGGGTAGAACATGTAAACTCCAACATGTCAAATGAGATTAAATAAACTAATGATATTAGTAGAAAATTAGAGGGATAGGGATTGTAATGATGCCTTTCGAGTCATAAACACACATTAATCATATAAAGACACAAGGCTGTGCTGTCTTAAAACTACTGAGCCCTTTGACAGGCGACACCTTTCCCTAACGTACCTGTAAACTGCCTCTTAATCCTACACTCACCCAAGCAGAGAGCAGACTCCACACTGGAGGGCTCCCCAGGAACCAGGGACCCTCTTGCTGTGAGGTGACAATGCTAACCACTGCATCACCACGCCGCCACATTTGCTCATTTGATCTGTAATAGTTAAAAAATGTGAGCATCTTCAGTGTGGTACAGTGTCAACTGAGCTGACTTTCCCTGTACATACAGACAATGAAACTACATCACATTTGATATGGTTATAGTCAGAGAGTTTCTCAGGAAACCTATTATGAAAAACTTTTTTTTTTTTTTTTAAATCTCAGTAGGACTTGTTTGGTGATGCCAAATATTCAAGTTTCAGTTTCACCTTTTTTCTGTTTCCACTATGAAAAGTTGTGGATGGTACCAAAGGAACCGTTCTGTACCGTCCCCATGTTTGGTTCCCCCTCTGTTGGGGTACCTAGCACACAGATCAGGCACTAAAAGGTGGAGCTGTGAACTCTGCAGTCTGATTGGTCAGTAGAGGACGGTCACTCTGCTCAGGGCTGAGTTGTGGCTGGTTTTGAGGCTCATGTAACCACTGTTCATACTGTGGAGAGTTTTATTAGTAAACTGTAACTATAAAATGAAAGGATGTTTTGCTGTCCATGGAGAGAGACTCTCACTGCAGCCTGTTTTATTTTGTTCTGAAAATGTCGGCGTGCAGCCTCGTTCTGTGGATGATAAACAAGGTGCAGACTTCCATCTGTGTCACCGGTAATGAGGAAATACAGTGAGTGCTGGACGGAGCAGTGAGTGACAACAACCCCGCCCACATTTAAGAGTACTGTTTGCAGTGGAAACACTAGGGTCTAGGTACCATGTCTGAAGGGTTACTTTAAGTGTTTGGTGGAGACGGGGCTTATGTGCAGGCAGTATTTGAGCCAGAATTTGTGACCAAAAAACAGCTATCACAGCTGTTCCAGTTCAAGCAGAAAATAGTATGCTGCTGGGCGACATCACTCACAGTAAGAAGCTGATGGAGAAGAGATTTCATGTCCTTTTAAAAGCAGTTTTCAAAACTCCTAAAATGCCTTCTCTGTGTCCCTCCTTCCCTCCCAGGAGCCTCGCTCGCGGGGTCACGCTCCTCGCCAGTCCAACCACATGGTGCCGATGCGAAACAGCGGCAGCCCCAAGTCCTCCATGAAGACCAAGCAGGCTTTCCTGCTGCAGGCCACCCGCCTCACCAAGCTGGCCCGGCACATGTGCCGTGACATCATCAGGCTGCGCCGTGCTGCGCGCCGGCCCTTTGTCCCCATTAACTGTGGGGCCATAAAGGCAGAGTGTAAGAGCTCTTTCAATTCCTCCTAACTTCTGCCACATGGACACACACACCTGCAGACAAAAACATACACACACAAACACACACACACACACACACACAGTCACCACCCTTCCTCACCCTGACTGCCCCACCATCAACCCCTCATCTCTGCCCTCTCTGCCCCCTCCGTCTGTCTCTCTTTCTGTTTTTATTATTATTGTTATTATTATTATTTTGGTTTTTGTATTCTCCCACCCCTGTTTCCAATAAAGACTGCCTGTCCTCATAACTATGAGTTCTGATCATCTTTTCATTCGTGTTTTTATTTTTTTTTAATTCTTTTATCTGTTGTGGTTCTTGAAAGCCTCTGTTGGAATTAAACACAAAGATTTATTGGTGAAACAGGGCGATTCAACACGTGCACGCCTGCACACACTTTGAAGACACACACACACACACACACACATAATAACTGACTTTGCTCCTGTCATTAACGAGTAGACTGTAATCCAATAGAGCCCATACTCTAGTCTGAGCCGTGTACTTGCTGACGTTAGATGTAGAGAAAATGTATTTTACTAAGAGAAGCTCTATTTTGCACGGCGCCCCTGGTACAGGCGTGCCCACTCTGTGCTGTCACGGCAGAACGAGTTGTCTCAGCCACGAATGTTCATTGTAAATACTGAACCTCAGCCTCAGTGTGTTTGCCATCACCGTTTTTTAAAACAATTCTGTTCCTTCTCGCGCACACGTTTTTCCCTCATGCTGTTGATCATGTGTGTTTCTGTGAGACAAAATGAACTGTGTGTGGGGTTGACGAAGAGCTTCAGACACATTTGGACTGATAAAACTTTAAGGGAGGGAGGTTGAAGCTGAAGTAAGGACCTTTTTTTGTTTTATAACTAGCTGCTCTTGACTTCTATGCTGCTACACTGCGTCTCCCGCTAGATCAGGCTTACGCATTCGGACTCATCAACAGGACCAATGTCCCTCGCCCATACCATCCACTCAGATGTTCTCCTGTGTTCCAATCATGCAATATTCATATGAATCCATCATGTTGCCTCTCCTTGCTCGTAAATCCTGCACACAGGATTTGCCATATCTCCCCCCTCGTCTTCATTTTCTAAATGTTGCAATATTCTCATCTCATCTTCTACCTCTTTTTGCTCTTTTTTTTCATCACTGTGTGGATGTGAGAGTAGACCTCCAATAAAGTCACACCTGAAAGCATCTCTTCCGAGTCCTTGTGCTTCATGTGTCCCGTGTTATCTGTCCATCAACTCCACAACACTCAGAGGAACCCATAAAGACCCGCCTCCCCCTCTCCTCCTTCTCCTCCTCCCAGCATGGAGTCAACCTTCAGTGCCTGCTGTCATAATACCTCCATATTTTAATGTATGTGTCTTTACAGTTTGTTTTTCTGTGTCTGTGCATGTGAAGCATGTACTTACATCTGTATGTGCATGTGGGTAGAGATTATTTTAAGTGGACATGTAAGTCACCACATTGACACAGAGATTTGCAAACTCGCATCGACTCCTGCATCATTCATTTTAAACATGAGAGGTTATTTTTAGTCACATGAAACATTTTGACAGACCTCCAACAGTTAGGGCTGATGTTATACACAACTTGACTCAGTAGGCAGAGGGAGTAAACTGAGAGACACTGCTTTGTAAAATGTGTGTGTGTGTGTTTGGTTTAGACATGTTAAGGGTGTCGGAAGGGCAGGGGACTCGCCTACCCAAAACCAGAGCCGCCCAAAGGAGCACTCTCACCAGTGTTCTCCAGTTTCTAGGTAAATCAACACTGAGCACTGAAACTGTGCCGAGTAACCGTGTCAGATCAAAGGAATATAAATCAAAGTTATTCAGATGGTCTGTAGGAGCCAGTTGATGCAGCTCCAGCTGTGGTGTCTCTTCCAGAGTCTCGTCCGGCCGCCCACGCCCCGCGCTCCCACCGCACCGCGGGCCTGCAGACGCCTCCACCTCGACGCCTCCTCTCCTCTCTCCCACACGGCCCCCACGGCATGCTGGGAAAACGCAGCTACCATCACCACAGCAGGGCTGAGCCGGACAGGCGCGCAGGTACAAGCACGGACACATTTCTTTAGAAGCAAAAAAAAAAAACTTATTCCAACTTATTTTTCAGTAAGAGTGTTATTGCTTTACTTAAACCAGCCTGGAAGCAAAAAGTTGTACTTGTTTACATCTGCTAAACCCCCCAAAAATTGGACTAAGCATCCCGTCTTGCTTTTTAACTGAGTTACGTATGATGTGAGTGAGCCTTGGGGACCAAACAATGTTGCTATCCAATGTCCTTGTCATCCTTTTGCTTGATAAAATCAAATTAGTGGAAATAACACTCGGACCTGATAACCCTTTCTGCCATTTCTTATCTAAACTAGCTCGTTGGAGAGAATGACAACTAATTCTAATGAAAACGAATCAGCAGATGGGGGTCATTTGGATAATTTGGATGGTTCAACTTCAGTCTGACACTTTGTTTTTTATTGGTAACTTCACTATTTTTACTGACATTGAAACACAGTCATTTTGTTGCACCACTAGGAAAAGCAATAAACCAATCAATACTATTCACAAGTGACAGATTCCCTCACACATACTCTGCAACTTTCCCCTGTGTCTGCAGATAACCCAGGTACAACAGGTGGACCCCTCCTGGTAGGTGCCTTATACTCCCCTTTAACAAGCACTGCACGTGTGTATCAACCTTTATTGTAGTAATCTAATTGTCTATTTGCAGCATAACGGCCGCAGCAGCAGCTCCGGAAACACCCGAGGCGGAGTGATGATCCGCAAGAGACGCCCCAACTGGATTGATGCTCCTGATGACAGCTTCTTCCTTGTCACCCGGGAGACCAGGTAAGCAAAGGTGACACTTTTCCGACCTCTGATTGGCTGACTGTGTGCATGTGATGGAGAAAGCAAGTGATGCTTAGAGTCAACAGTATATAGGAGGAACTGAGCTGTGACCAAAAAGATGTTACTTACATAACATGCACACAGACACACATGTATGCGCCTGAAGTTACGCGGACCCATTGAGTTGAAACAGCGTGGCGTCTGGGAAGCCTGCAGAGTTCAAATCCATAAAACTGATTTGAATAAAAGTGTTTATTTTCATCAAAACAAATGAAGAAATTCTGATATTTTGATCAGAGGGAAAATTAATCTTAGAGGAAAAGCTGCTATCCAAGACATTGCGGTCATTTTCAGTGGTTCTCTGGGAATTTGGGGATTTTAGCAACCTTGGGGAATTCAGATTTTACACTTAACCCTTTTTCTTGTCTGATTCCAGTCAAATTCTGCAGGATTTAGTCATGCCTATTTTGCAGTTGGGACGGCTCCTCTGTGCGGAGTTTGCATGTTCTCTGCATGGGTACTCCAGCTTCCTCCCACAGTCCAAAGGTTAATTGGTGACTCTAAATTGTCCGTAGGTGTGAATGTGAGTGTGAATGGTTGTCTGTCTCTATGTGTCAGCCCTGTAATAGTCTGGTGACCTGTCCAGGATGAACCCTGCCTCTCACCTAATGTCAGCTGGGATAGGCTCCAGCCCTCCCGCGACCCTCAAGAGGATAAGCAGCTACAAAACATGAATGAATGAATTATTTTTAAGGTTCAGTGTGTGGGATTTAGGCAAAAAATTGAATTTACTACAATAAGTATGTTTTCTTTACTGTATAATCTCCCGAAAATAAGAATCCTGCTTTCGGTACCTTAGAATGAGCTGTTTATATCTACATACGGAGCAGGTCCTCGTCTAAGGAGCCCACCATGTTGCACCGCCATATTTCTACGCTAGGCCATAAAGTGGAACGTCTGGATACAGTTGGCAGGTGTAGTTTGGTAGACAGAAAATAGTTCCTACGTGAAACTGCTCACAACAAGGTCTGTGGATTATCTTGAGTAACCGGGTCATAATTTCTGGAAAGAGACATTGCTGTTGGGTTTGTCAAATTTATTTTCTCAGTGCTTTGGGCACCACAAGCCGAGTGCCATCTAGTTCTGTTATATTCCGGAGAAAGCAGACATCTCTACGGCTGATATCTGCGACACTCGGCAACTCACACCAAAACAATCTAGACTGATAAACTGCACTACAGGTAAGAGGAAAAATATTGATTTTTGAATAAGGGGTGAACTGTCCCTTTAAATGGTGCATTTTTAGCAATATTTTAGTTTTTTCAAGACTCAAATCAAATTAAATGACATTATTGGCAAAGTGTAAGATTTCACTTAAATTAAAATTAAATAAAACTGATTATCTCCTCCATAAATAAGACTGTAATTGATTTTTTTTTTTCCTCGTAAACTTGCTTCAGACTGTAATACAGCTGTACAATTTAAAAAAAACCCAACTGATCCAAATGTCTCGAAAACAAACACCTGATTCTCTTTGCACACATTTTGTCGTACACATGATTGATTAAACATGCATTCATGTTTCACATGCAGACAATCACTCTCTATTTATTTTTCTCACACACACATAGACACACACTCTCTCACACGCACATGCACATATGCACATAGTGAGTCAATGTTTGCATGTCTGTATGTGAGAAAGAGAGATGTTCTTCCATTAGGCCTGTGTCTAAATGAGCCATGGCACCCGGCCCTCCGATCACCAGGGCTAAAATTAGAGCAGCTAACTGGTGCAGACGGACCAGCGCGGAGCCAGGCAGCGCCGGGCCCTGAGTGGAAATATCATTACCACATTAACCATGGCTGCACTCGTATGGATCACTCACTTACCACCAATATCAACATGTGTGCTTGTGTGTGAGAGAGATGTTGTCCTGAATACCGTCCCTTTATTATATTATGCTGTGTTTCTCCCTCCTTGCAGAGCCAATTAATGCTTTTCTGAATAAAAGACATTAATAGATATGCTCTGAAAGGCTGCTGCTAATGAGAGATGATCGGAAGTTTCATTTTCTTTCTCTCCTCCATCTCTTTCTCCCACTCTTTCTCTCGCTCTGTGTGATGGAGAAGGCAGTGTTTCACAGAGCAGAGAGGAGTGGGAGATCACTCCCACTTATTCAGGGAGGCAAGAGAGACAAATAGAGACAGGAAGGGAGAGAGAAATTAGCACTTTTCTTATCATAGGTTACATAGAATTTAAACCGCTATGCACAACAAAAATAAGATACTTAAGGGGGGTTTAGTTGTGCAGTGGTGTGTCTGTGTCACTCTGCATTTACACCTCCAAAACACTAGTTGGCGGTGGAGGTTCCTGTGAAGTGCTGTAAAGTTTAATTGATTCAAAACACACTTAAAACACACATTAAACACACATTAAACATGGCTTAATAGAGACCATTTCAAACACAAGTACACAAATCAGCTTCACTATAACTCTCAGTATTCACAGACAAACACTTGTCTTTATCTGGACACATTTTCCCCACAAATACAACATGCTAACGTCATTAGCACAAGCCTATTGCATTTTACATTGTATAAATTAGGCTAGCAGCTAGCTGACTTCCCTCTACTCATATGAAGCCAGGGACAACAGTAACATTTAACAAAGGTCACGTTACATAACTCAGCTCCATTACAACTCACAAGGTTCACTGCCAAAACAATTGTCTTATACTAAACACGTTTTCCAAACAAATACAACATGCTAACGTTATTAGCACAAGCCTATGGCATTTTACATTGTATAAATTAGCCTAGCGACGAGCAGAGATTTCCTCTGCTCATATGAAGCCAGGATAAATCACACACAAGACTTAAAATGCTATTTTTGTGGAGGCTTTATTGTCTTCACAATTTATTGTTTCTTATCTGTGAAATTAAAGTAAATAAAAGCTTTGTTTCCACTGAGGGAAATGGTTTCAGCTTACAGAAATAGACAGGAGGTCTGCGTCGCCGCGACATGTGGTTACATTTCTAGGGAGGTGCACGTCAGGCTATGGTGTAGGTACAGTGACAATTCAACACAGAGGCATAAATTCCGCCTAAGAATGAAACCTAATTTTATGGCAGCCCTTCTAATAGTTGTGTCAAGTCAAGGGATGTCAACAGTTTACTGCTAGTTGGTTAATCGCAGAGAATATTTTCAACTGCGTGTCGGTCTATAGGTTAATTTTGCTGCTCTTCAGTTAACTGCACTGTGCACCACCCGGGTCAGGTGGGAGACAGACGGCTGGCTGGCCACTTAAAAATAAGGAAACACAGTGCCCACTGCCGACCCCCTGGTCTCCACTCATTAGCTAGCCTAAGGGGCCGTACACATGCAGCGTTTTTCTGCCCTTAAATTTGTCGTTTTTAATGTAAACGTATGGCAGGTGCACTCAAACGCTAGAGCGATGCTTTTGTGGCGCGCACATGTTCCCAAGCGCCTAGTTTTCAGGACACGGTAGCTGCGCTCTGAGATAAACCCAGTTCAACTTTTGGAATGACAGATATCTTTCCCTTCTTCTGTAAATATTCAGTCTGATAAATACGGAAACGTTGATCATGTTAGTGCAGGGCTACCCAGAGCTTTACATCTGTCCTACAGACGATAGGCCTACACACTTATAAACAGCTCCTGGAAGAAGATCAGCTCTGCATTTAGGATTTCAGGTAAATAGGCTATACGATGCTTGTTAATGCTCCTTAGCAACATCAGATACAACCTGCCGCCATGGTCCTGAAAGCTGGCACAAAAAAGCACAAATGTAGCACCTGACCTCGCATTTTCCAGGCGGTTAAAGACGCAGCATGTGTACGGCCTCTAACACTGCACTGCGGGAGCAAGCTAGCAGCGCCACTCATTCATCATTTACCACTAGTAGCACCATTGCGACCCATCAGTGTTGCTGTGGAAACATTGTACCCACCCTTTGGGCTCCTCTTAGACTCCCCTGGAGGGCTGGATCACAGAATTTGAGGAATGAAAATGGTCCCCCAAAGTTAAATACGTGATCACGGCCCTGCATTGTATCATTGGTACCTTTACTTTAAGATTCTGTGTACTTCTTCCACAGCTGCACCTAGCGTAAGATACAGAGAATTCAAAATTAGTCAGATAAATAACAGGACAAAGCATCAGAAATGGTGAATATTAGAAAACAGACCAAGAGAAAGTGAAACAGAAATGTAAATGAGACAGCTTGATGTGTTTGAGCATGGATTTACATGTTTGCTCTCCTCCTCCCAACGGCCAGCTGAACAGACAAACCGCAGAGCTTTAGATAATGTGCCACCAGAGCTCAATCTGCTCTCTGGTTCATATTCTGCGTTAAATCTAAGTAACATCACGTATGTCGTGCTGTGTAATAACAAGTCTCAGGGTTCATTGTACTTGAAAAATGTGTGTGTGGATGCACGGCTACGGCATGCAATTTCAGGCCTATTTACTATACTTGGATGCACAAGCACATAATGTGCGCAGATTCTTCATGAGTACTCCAGCGCTCATTTTATCAACAGCAGGGATCTGGAGGGGAGTGATGTATTTCCCTGTTCCCAACACGAGAGAAACATCCTCGGTGCTGCTGAGAGCAGCAAAAGACGAAGAAAAGATGAGGGCTGTGCCGCGCATTACGTCTCAAAGTGTTTTTCTTGACCGCCTGAAGGGAACCATGAATCAACTGTATGTTGTGGTCATGTATCTTGTATTTGTCTGAAAATATTCCATTAGTATTGTGTCCAACACTTGTGAGTGTGCCTCATGGCCTTGTAGTTTAGTGCCGCTGGTTGCTGTGAGCTGTTAAAAAAGCCTTCCTGTCACAGCACAAAGCCCAGTGCAGTGCAGTCTGGAAATTACCAGTGAGCTCCTTTATAAGTCTGAAGATCCTGCAGAGAAGTCTCTTTTATTCTGTAACAGATATATTCTGCTCACAATAAATGCTGCACTTTGAATCCTCTTGAAATGAGAAAAAAGTGGGTATTTGTAATTACTTTCTCAGCAGCCGAGAATCTCAACTTGATGCCCTTAAACTGAACATTTCTCCTTTATTAGTTTCTTCATTTTATGTCTTGAATGAATCAGTTATTGCTGGTGAGGCTTTACACTTACACCTTGTGCAAAGCTGTTGCTTGTTAGATGCACTGAAAACAGTCACAGATGGGAGACACTGCCGAAATCAAAGATTGAATAACGACAACATTTTCACAACCAAATAATGAAGTGATTAATTACCTAGGTGCAGTAGCATGCAGCGTTGTCAAACTGCTGGTAAACCATTAGCATACATGACAAATAATCTCTTTCATAAAGCCCAAAGCCAAATTCATCATTGTTTCCACGTGTTGGCAGCCTTTTTGACTGCACACTGTTCTCACAGCATCGAGCCTGTGGTCAGCTCCGTATAAATAATGTATTCAGACAAACATCCGCAGGCATGGCTACTGAAACATAAAGATACAGTCATGGGTTACTGGCTTCTAACGAGTGTATTGTATAAAGAGACAGTCCATCCCAAAATCAATAATGCATAGTATTTCGTCTGACCTTTAGTGCCGTTTATCAGTCTAGATTGTTTTGGTGTGAGTTGCCAAGTGTTGGAGATAAGCCGTAGAGACGTCTGTCTTCTCTCCAATATAATAGAACTAGATGGCACTCGTCTTGTGGTGCTCAAACAACACATCCTAACTCCGACTACGTATCAACGTTTGGTCATGGACCTTCCATGTCCACATACAACATGTAAGGTACCCTGGGACACCATGTCAAGTTCTGCCTGTTACATGCATTGTCTTCTTTCAAGATACACTTCTGTTTTCACAGGAAATTTAACGTTTACAGTCTCTTTCAAAATAAATGCACTACATCATTACAACACCGCGAACTGACGTTTTTTTTCCTCCAACAACGAATGCATGTGGTTGGGTTTAGGAAAAAATAACAGGCTTTGGCTTTAAAATCTAAGCGAACACTGCTCTCCCAGGTGACGGTTGGTGTTTGTTCGACCCATTCACCGCACTTGGACTTTTGCCACCTTAACCTTTGTTCTTGTCCCTCTGTGTTTCTTCCTGACGCCGCCGAGCGCCATTAAATTATACCAGCGACCACCTGGGTATCATGCTAACGTTAGACAGCTTTTTCATCAGTGTCTGACACCACAAGTCACTGCCCAAGCGCCGGCTTTCGACAATTTGGGATTAAGACGGGGTTTGACAAACTCAACAGCAATAGCCATGTTTCCATCAGCCTGTTTAGATGTGCATCTAGAAGTATCGCATCGGAAAATTATGATGGAAACGCCAAAATTCAAATTAAAATCCCCTGATTCGCACAACCTAAAATACACTTGCTTTAGTCGGGTTTTGGTTGATTCGAAAAAATGTTGATTCGCAAAACGGGGGATGGAAACAGTTATGGTCGAATTAAGTCTGACGTAGCGCACCTCTCTCCGTGGTGATATCCACACTCCGGGTCGGGAAGGCGGTAATGCATTTACAAGCTGGTTGCCAACCGCCAGAAAACGTAGAAGAAGAAGAATGCGAGACTTGTTTTGTTTCCAGTTCTGCAGAAAACTCGCGCTAGTTCTTAGTTTTCACCAAAGTCCGTACATTTAATGGAAACACACAGGATTCATATTTCTTTTAATGCGCGTTTCCCAATGATTCGAATCACTTTTGGATGGAAACATAGCTAATGTCTCTTCCCAGAAATCATAACCTGGTTACTCAAGATAATCCACAGACCTTGTTGTGAGCAGTTTCATATAGGAACTATTTTCTTTCTACCGTACTACACCAACCTTATCACCGCACAGAAGGAAGCGTGCATCTACTCATGAACGAGAGGCTCGTGGGTGTGACAGCATAAGATGTAAAGATTAATGGTGTCCTCCTCTGCTGAGCTGTAACGTTAGCTAGCGCAGTGGTGCTAGGTGAGCTAGCAGTAGATATTTGAGAGAAGGCAGATGTCTCCATGGCAACTCACACCAAGATAATCTAGATTAAAAAATAGCACTACATGTAAGAGGGAAAAAAATTGCTTCTTGCTGAGAGTTAGACAGTCTCTTGTATCGATACACTAAATACGAAGCTACAACCTGCAGCTGGTTAGCTTAGCTTAGCTTAGCACAAAGACTGGAAGCGGGGGGAACAGTTAGCCTGGCTCTGTCAAAAGAAACAAAATAATCATAACAAAATTATCTGTATGACTAATTTTAATTGACAAAACAATCTCACCACAAGGTGTGTTTAGTAACTGTTCTGGAGCTTTATTCAGCCACAGTCCTCCTCAGCAGACGGAGTTGCCTGGCTGTAATTGTAATTGTAGATTCAATTTCCTTTTTCCGTGAGCACTTTAAGGACTTCTTCGACCATGGTGGCTTAAAAATTGAGATGAAAAAAAAGTCATTCCTGACCTTGGAAACAGTAGTCGGGCAGACTGGTGATTTATTTTGTCTACTACTGTTACTGCTGCCGTTACTGACTACTGTTTCCAAGGTAATGATTGTGCTTTCAGTCTGGATTTTTTTTTTTTTACTAACATTATTTTGGCATAAGTGTATCTTCTTCTGCACTTATGTCCTGTCTCGTCTTCACTGCTCCAGGAGGGCCAGACGGATGCTGTCCCGCTCCCAGCTGAGGCACGCTTGTCGGCAGCCATGCGAGCAGATCACCCTGCGCAGGGTCACCCAGGGCCCGCCACAGGGGCTCGTCCTCGCCCCTCCACACCCTCACCCCAGCCTGAGGATGCGAGGCCCCATCGTCATCCATGACTGACGGGACACCGGACCCTCTGACACCACTGCTGCATACACACCAACAAATTCTCGCCTCCTTTTCTCTCATTAAAGGAACACTTCACCCACAAAATGACCGTTTGTATATCAACCACTCATCCAGTGTTGCGTTGAATTTGCAAAGGGGACTCTGTTTTTCTTGCATGTCTCCATGGTGAGCAATTGACGTACAGAGGGGCCACATTTAACAACAGCAAAACTATATCAAATCATCTGTTTACAAACTCACAAAACTCGTGCAGCCGTATGCTCGGTACTTCCCAAGCACATGTATTTTTATTTAAACCTTACCATTTAAAACCGAACTGGAAGTGAAACTCGAGTATGCCCTCTTCAAGTTTACATCACTGAGCTGCTGGTCTACCCCTGCCTCGATCAGTTTGTCTTTGTTATTGTGTGAGTTTGGTGACATAAAGGGTAAGTTCAGATTCACCAAACTCACACAATAACACAAGCAAACTAACTGACCGAGGCAGTGTTAGTCCAGAAGCTTCAATGTTCGGCATGGTAAAATTGCTGTTTGTGAAGTGAACCACCACATCACTGCTGATCGCTACAGAAGACAATGAATATAAAGGGAAACTTTGCTTTTATTGAACCAGCTGTGTGACATCGCAGTGTGTGCAGATGAACGCTGTTTGGCCGGTGCCAGCACCTGGACCTCCGCCACTAGACGGGTAGGGATCTCTGGGTGAATCAAACAACTTTCATGTGATGCCACACAGCTGGTTGAATATCTGCAAAGTTTCCCTGCTTCCCTTCACTGGTTCCTGTACAGCAGGGTCAGTCTTTGTTTCACTGTTATAATCATTAAAAAGCAAAAGCAGAATGTGTATACATTCAGTAGGCTATATCTTCAGTAGCTAGCAAGCTAACCCTACACTTTCCGGGGTCTGAAACGTATATCTTTTTATAACCTCTCCAGATAACGAGTATCATTAATACACAGCGTGCCCCAGGCACAACATTTAGCTCCAAATCCAAAAACCAGCCTGAACATGAAAGAAATCTGAAACAAATGAGCACAGCTGTGTTGTTGTCGGACCCTGATGCTAAGTTATGATTGGCCAGTCTGCGTCCGGGGGCGGGACACAGTGAAGGGTCAATTAGGAAGCACTGTGCATACAACGAGCTGTGTGAGAGTATTTAAAGCATGCTGCTAAACGTGGCCCCCTATGACTTCAATTCATCGAGAATTTTCTGCGGGTTTGAGTCTTCCTTCCCCGCAGAGGGATGTGACAAAAACAACATTTTTCTTCACAAATTCAGCGTAACACAGGGTGAGTAATTGATATACAAATAATCATTTTGTGGGTGAAGTGTTCCTTTAAAGTCCTTGATTCCTTAAAATGCAGTTATAATCCCGAACACTTAAAGAAGCTGTCTAACTGTTTGGCAACAGAAGGATGTCATGAGCCGTGATGCAATAGAAAAAACACCTGAGGTGACTGCAAGTGCTGCCTGTCTTAAATCCTGGGAATGTGTTTGTATGTGTAAATACTGTATTTGGGTGCATGCGAGTGTGCAATAGAGTGTGTGTGTGTGCGTGTGTGTGTGTGTGCGTGTGTGTGTGTGTGTGTGTGTGAGAGATCATGCCAACAACACATGAGAGAGCGTGTTGACGTGTGCTGTTCTTGGTTTTTATGGATGGAGGACATAACGACAGAACTTTGTGTGACTTTTTTTGTGTTGATGGTGAATCATTGTGAAGTTTTATCAGTTTGTATGAAGTTATTTTGGGAGCAGGGTCGGGGTGGGGGCATGGGGCTGGATTAGGGTGTGGGTGGGAAGGGGTGGGATTGTTGGGGACTAAGGTTCTTTTACCATAAGAGAAGAGGCAAATGTCCAACGCTGACGTTAAAAAGAAAATGCACTATACGAAGACTGAACCAGAGGCCTTCTTGGAAAGAAAATGGCCGCTTTAAATTGTGTTTCACCTGCAGTTCTTCACACTCCTCTTGAAGTTTAAATCTGGAGCAGATGACCTGGAGACATCCCTAAAAGCTGTCATGGTCTGAAAACATCACAAGGCAATTAATAGAGAGCCAGCTTACATTAAACAGCAAAAGCCTCCCTCATGAACCAGTGTATAATATATTGTATATCTCATTACAGCACTGTAAATCTACTCATCCTATTTCTATGGCCGACTGTACCTACCTAGCCCTAACATGGGTACTAAAGCACTTCCTTTGCAACAGAAAAGGGCATGGATCTGTCATCTTCTCCTCAAGGCTGTGATGTACCGGCAACATTTTGGGGCGAAAACATACGAGCAACTGTTTGCCAACGTTTCATTCATTGTTCTTTAAAGCCAACAGTCAAGTTTATCCTGTTTTCTCTCCCTCCCATGGTGCCAGAGGACGTCTCCTCACTAAGTTGCCAGTGAACCCATTCAGCCTTCAGGTGTGTTTATTCATGGGTTTTAAAAACTGGCATCGCCGCCGCATGTCTTTGAGGTGTGAGCCTCCGCTGATGATTTCTTCTCTTTCATTCAGAATGTTTATGTTAGTGTTTCCTGTATGTCATGTGTTGAATTATGAATATGCTGAGAACAATAATAAAAAACAACAACACGATGCTGGATTATGGCGTCCGGTCTCAGTGAGTCATTTCATGGTGTTATATCCTGACAGCCTGCCCTGTCTCCCAGCCTCCTACTCTGTCTCTCTGTGTTGCTGTGGAGGGGGAGTGTAATGGATGGGGCCCGGTACACACTGCGGCCTGTGTGAGGATCTCGTAAAATACCCCCACAAAATATGGTAATTTGACACAGTGATGAGGAATGAGGAGTGCTTTCTGGATATAAATCATGTTCTTGGAGGCTTACAGCCTGCCTCAAAGTGTGTGTGTGTGTGTGTGTGTGTGTGTGTGTGTGTGTTCAGAGAGGTTTTGTTTTTCTGCAGCTTTAAAGAATGTGCGTACAGTCAGCTGTTGCAACCTCTGTGATTTTTGTTGTTGATTTTTTACAGAGGTATATTTACTGTCAACTGCTGCATTGCTATTTATGGTTAAATCAATTTCCCAGTTTATTTACACAAAAAGTTAAGTTTTAATTTATTTATGTTTTTGCCAGTGTGAAACAATATTGAGGACAAAAATCACCTAAAATAAATATATAAATAAATGTTGAAATATATACTGGGATAAGTAAATAAGTAAATAAATGATTAAATAAATAAATGTATTTAAAAAAAATACAGGAATAAATAAATACAGAAATAGATAAAAATAAATAAATGCTTGAATGAAGAAAAGAAAAAATGTTGAAAGAAATGCAAATTAAATAAATAAATAAACAAAGCAATAAATACATATTCAAATAAATACATAAATGTATAAATAAAAAACAATAAAACAATGTGAAATAAATACATAAATAAATACATGTTCAAATAAATAAATAATTGTAATTATAATAATTAAAACAATCAAAATGTTAAAATAAATACAGAAATAAATAAATGTATGAATTAAAAATCAGTAATGAAAAATGTGAATTAAATACAGAAATAAATAAATAAAGCATTTTTTTAAATAATACATAAATAAATAAATGTTCACATAAATACAGAACAAAATGTATAAATAATAAAAAACAATAACAAAATGTGAAGTAAATACAGAAATAAATAATCAAATGAATAAATAAATGTTAAAATAAATGCAAAAAATAAATGCATGAATAAAGAAATAATAAATGTTGAAATAAATATGTAGATAAATAGATAAATCAGAAATAAATAAATAAAAGTTGGTAATCAAACAGAATATAAGTCAATAAAATAATCAAATGTATTTCTAGATTTTTACAACTACTTTTATTTACTTATATCTTTATTTCTGTGTCAATATATTAATGAGGTAGGAGGTCCACGTGTATGCATTTTTTTCCTGTATTTATTTAAGCATTTATTTAGTCTTTTATTTATTTATTTCCATATTTTATTTATTACTAAATTTATTTATACATGTATTTATTATTTATTGTGCATGTATGTCAGTGTGCTGTGTACGTGTGTCATATATTATGACCAGAGGGATATGCAGGTATGTATGAGCAGGAGGAGGCAAGATAAATAAATGCATAAATTGTAATTATAGTAATATTGATAAGCAAGTTCAGTAACTAAAAAAATAAATAACACTCATGATAATGAATGTATGAATAAATGAATAAATACATATTACTACTACGACTAATTATTATTTTGATAAATATGATAATAGTAATTTGTTTCCTCATTACATCCGTAACGGCTGCACATTTAACTCACAATTGGAGTACTTTTTAACACCGTACGTGAACTATAGTGGCCAAAACTATGTGGACACCTAAACATCACACCCACGTGTCATCACTGAACATAGAAATCTGCTGCCTTCAGGTGCTGTCATTAATATTAGAATTATGACACAAGTATATTAGAAGAATATAAACTCGTATGAAGCACTGACATTTCCTTAGCAGACAGAGCACTGAAGCTATAAAGCCTACTAAAGGTGAGAAAGAGACATTTTACAGAATTTGGATTTAATATTTCACACTTTAATAAACTCAAACATACATTATGCGTAAATGGTAAGGTACGTGAACATACATTTTCTTAATGGCTTAAATCACAAAAATAAAAGTTAAATTACCATTGATAGCTCTTCTCTGTGTGCGTAAAGTGGAAATTTAAAACTTTTTTTACCTTATATTTTCCAGTTTCTTTATACTTCTCAGTTTTTCATTTTTATCTTTGATTTACACATCTTGTTTTTCTTGTAAATTGAGTTTGCAGCTCATTAAAACGGAGGTAAAATACTATTAAGATGATGTTGAGTCATTTTTAATGGCAGATTATTCAATTTTATTTTCCTTTTTGTCAGACGTCTTGATAAACCAATTAGAGTTGTTGAAATCTTCAGAATATTTATTAAAAAAGACTCAAGGACTACGTGTCATGTATATAAGCTTCATTATTATTAGTTTTCTGTCAACTACTACTCACACAGTCCACAGGAAATTATTTGTATTGAACTGTTTGCCAAGAAAACGCTATAAACACACGTCACAATGGCTCCCGTTCAGCTTGAAAGTCGGAGCTTTGTAAGAGGCACTTGAACGCAGCACGTCGTCTGCAGGACTCCGTGAGACCACCGGGGTCCCGGGAAGTTCATCACCGGGTCTCCGTCACCTCCACCGGTCTCCACGACGACGCTTAGTCAAAAATGGGGGCGGAAATAAACAAACAAACGATGTTTGTACGACACGTGCGCTCGTGTCTTTCTTAAACCGACTTCCTGGCCGTTAACCGCCGAAGCTCCAGTGGCGCAATCGGTTAGCGCGCGGTACTTATATGACAGTATACAGCAGAGCAATGCCGAGGTTGTGAGTTCGAGCCTCACCTGGAGCAGAGTTTTTAGATTAACCCCTCACCTGGTGACAACTAAGCAAATCCTCCGCCGCGTGAGAGGGGGACTTCCTGTACTGCGCAGTAACGACGTCATACAGTAATCCCCCTCCATAACAGTTGTGGTATATTCAGGTTCTACTCAAACTGTACAGCCTCACCACAAAGCGCTGACGTGTTGCTTCCTGCTGACAGGTGTGTTTCCTCGAAGGAGGCAAAATGAAGTATATGGAATACAGTCTGTGCATCACTCAATACAAAGCTGAACTGGCATATAATGGCAAACTGTTCACGCCAATCCACTTTTGTTCTTTAAACACACAGAAATAAGTACAGAAAGATAAATAAAATATAAACTAGTGCATACCCATTGGTAGCTTTGTCA